CTATATAACTGTAATAGAACCACAGGAGAGCACTGATTTTTGCCAGACACCAAAATGTTTTGACCAAACAGGGGAGACAGCGCCCACAGGCTCTTTGCACCATTACCACACATCTTTACCACACATTATTTGTAGTGGTTTTAGTGCAAAGAGTGTCCATTTAATGCATGATACACTTATTTTAAACATTATTGCTCAGAGGATTCTATTTATGTACATCCACCAACAAGAAGCAAAGTGCTCTAAAGTTAAAGAAAACTGCGGCTAAATAGTTTTATGGCTTTGATAGGCTGCTGACATGACAAATTAGATGTCATGTAAGAAGTAATGTTAAAAATCACTGCCATGGGGGGGTGGGCAGAGCTTGACCGCAAACCGAATCCACAAGCTGAGTGTTCTATGAGTGACTGTTGCATATGGTAGTACTTGGGAGCTTGGAGCTCCAGTTGATGGAGGAGACAACGCATGGCAGCCGTTACTCTGCGAGGTATCCTACCCGGGTTAGGTGGATCGGTTACTTGATTAGCAAGATAGGTTAATAGTTGACTACCTGGCGTCCTGAGTAGTGTCCTCTAACCGAGGTGTATGCAGGGGGGGAGGGGGTACTTGCATGGGTGTCGCCAATTAGTTGCCGACTTCTAGGTACAGAATGCTCCTATATCTCTATGGTCTGAGTGGCCCTAGCGAGTGGCCGCATTGTGTAGCGGTGGTTCTGAGCCTCCTACGAGCCTCTTGTTTGCACAAAATAACAGGTGGAACTTGCATCTAAAAATGCCAAACAAAGTGAAAAAGAAATAAAACATAAAACTTAAAAGTATGACTTCCGTGTCCGTGGGACTTGTAGATGATTTGCCTTTTAGGCATGGTGTCGCCAAGCAGTGTAAAAGACTGTTTTTTGAGGTCTGAATTCCTCACCTACCCTACTTGTGGTTACCGTTGCATGGAGTACGCCTCACAGGAGCAACTAATGCAGTTTGTACAACCAGCTAAGGCGAAAAGACAGAAACGCAGGTCTGGGGCCTACAGACCCACTCCAAGCCTAGATTGGTCGGAACTGTTGAGTGGATTCGAGCTCCCTGGGGATCCGGAGGCGGAAGACTACCCTGCTGCTCTCTTACCTGACCCAGCATCAATGGGCCAACAGTCCCAAAAACCACCCCTGGTATCACCTTCGGGGTCGAGTGATACCGGGGTTGGTTTGACCTAAAATGGCTGGAATTGCTGAACGCAAACCCAGAAAGGCACAAGCAGACCCCATGCAGCCTGACTCACCTCCAGAGCAGGCACAAATGAACATGGGGGACTCAGATGGGTCAGCACCAGTTACACAGCGGGACTTCCGCAACCTGGTCACAGAGATCAAAAGCCTTCTGGCAGCTGACGTGCTAGCAGTCACTGACACGGTGAAGGCTTCAGAGGAAGACATAGCAAACATCAAGCAGGGACTGTCATCCCTACAGAACTGTGTACTGAATATACAAGCCCAACAACAAGCTCTCTCACTTCATTACATAGCGCTGGATGACAAGTCACAGTGCAATCACCCCAAGCTTAGAGGGTTACAAGCAGGGGTCAAGTCCTGGGGAAAAAAGTGTGGGAACTCACCCAAGATTCCCGCCCCGCCCCCCCCCTTTAAAAAAAAAAAAATTACACTCCTATGCATATAGTGCAGTGCAGGGTGTGTATAATGAATGTAGTGTGTTTGTAGTAAATGCAGAGTGTGTATAATGAATGCAGTGTGTTTTTAGTGAGTGCAGAGTGTGTACAATGAATGTAGTGTGTAGTGAGTGCAGAATGTGCATAATAAATGCAGAGTGTGTATAGTGAATGCAGAGGGTGTATAGTGAATGTAGTGTGTTTGTAGTGAGTGTATAGTGAATGTAGTGTGTTTGTAGTGAGTGAAGAGTGTATAATGAATGCAGTATGTGCATGTGCTGGATGATGTGTGTGTGTGTGTGCGCGCTGGATGATGTGGTGTGAGTGCTGGATGATGTGTGTGTGAGTGCTGGATGATGTGTGTGTGCTGATGATGTGTGTTTGTGTGTGCTGATGATGTGTGTGTGTGTGTGCTGGATGATGTGTGTGAGTGCTGGATGATGTGTGAGTGCGTTGGATGATGTGTGTGTGAGTGTTGATGATGTGTGTGTGAGTGTTGGATGATGTGTGTGTGTGCTGGATGATGGGTGTGTGAGCTGGATGATGGGTGTTTGTGTGAGTGCTGTGGATGATGTGTGTGTGTGCTGGATGATGGGTGTGTGAGTGCTGGATGATGGGTGTGTGTGAGTGCTGCTGATGATGGGTGTGTGAGTGCTGGATGATGGGTGTGTGTGTGCTGGATGATGGGTGTGTGTGAGTGCTGGATGATGGGTGTGTGAGTGCTGGATGATGGGTGTGTGTGAGTGCTGGATGATGGGTGTGTGTGTGCTGGATGATGGGTGTGTGAGTGCTGGATGATGTGGGGGGGGAGCATTTTTTCTTACTTTATGTGTATGTATATTTTTTTATTTTATCCCCCCCTCCCTGCTTCTTACCTTGTCAGGGAGGGGGGAGATGGCCTGGTGGTATGCTGGAGGGAGCCAGCCGCTGCACAGAGGGGCCATCACACGCAGTGTTCCCTCTCCAGCTCTAACTCTCGCGAGACTCGCCTGTGCGGAGCGTTGCCATGGTAACAGCCGCGGGTCTCGCGAGAGTTATAGCTGGAGAAGGAACACAGCGTGTGATGGCCCCTCAGTGCAGGTAGCAGGGCCGGTCCTGCAGGACAGGTAACGGGAACGGCGTTCCTGCTTTGGAAAAAGTGCGGGAACGCCGTTCCCATGCGTTCCTGCAGGACTCGAGCCCTGGTTACAAGACATCATCACACCAGACGAGCTCCCCCACTACGTGAGGCGACTTGTAGCCTCAATACTGCCACTAAATCATGCAAAGAAGTTTACCCTAGATGGGATCTATCGTTTACCATCATCAGGCAGAGCAGCCTCCACTAGGGTACGAGATGTGATCGTGCGTTGTTCAACCTCCCAGGATAAAAGACTCCTGATGTCTGCACTCCAAGGTAAGATGCCTCTAACCTTTGAGGGATCGAGTCTCACAATCTATTACCAGACCCACATTACAGTGGCGAAGAACCCTGAGTCCCGTCACCAGCCACCTGAGAGCAGCGAGAGTGGAATACCACTGGAGATCACCCAGGTTTCTAGCGGTCACACAATGAGACTGTATATAAAATCTCCTCACTTGCCGAAGCACCCACCTTCTTTAAGGCTTTGGGCTTACCTATCCCCAAGCACGCTACTGAATTACAACCCAGCACACTCGCCTGGGCACCGGTGTTCCCATCTACTTCTTCAGATCGCCTGATTTCACAACAAGAAACCTGACAGCACTGAAGACGATATTATCTACCTGGGGCTTTGTCCCTATAGAACGGTGTGTGTTTCCGCACCAAAGACAGCCCTCCTCCCCCCTGAAACCCCCTTGGTCAGGGGCAGTGGTGTATCCTGGTTTTGTGCTGCCCTAGGCAGGACAAAACTCAGGCGCCCCCTCCCTCCGTGCCACCCCCACCCAACCTTTCCCCCCACACACACATTCACTGACAGATACGCATACACTAGCTAACAGAAACACTCACTAACAGACACACACTAACAGACACACACACACATACATTAAGACACACTAACAGACACACACAGTAACACACACACACATGCTAACAGACACACACACGCTAACAGAAACACACAAACACTAACATACACACACACAGTAACAGTCACAGACACACACTAACAGACACACACAGTAACAGACATATACACACACTCACTCACATTAACATATTTTTTCTTTTTATTTAACCCCCCAGCCTCCTTACCTTTGGGAATGCTGGGGGGAGGGGAGTTCCTCTTTCTCCCTGGTAGTCCAGTGGCTGCCGGTCGAGCTACTGGGTGGGTGGCTGGCGAGGGAGCTCTTCCTCTGAGCTGTCTGCTCAGCTCCCTCGCGCGCCTCAGAGTGAGGCTGGGAGCCGGGTTGATGACGTCATATTCCGGCTCCCAGCCTCACTCTGCGGCGCGCGAGGGAGCTGAGCAGACAGCTCAGAGGAAGTGCTCCCTCGCCAGCCGCCCGCCAGCGCCCCCCCGACCGCCCATACCCTGGGCATTTGGGGAGCGGCGTTTTTTGCCGCCCCCTGAAAAATGCCGCCCAAGGCAAATGCCTTGTTTGCCTCGTGGCTAATACGCCTGGTCAGGGGTACAATTAGAAGACGGCCATAATATCTCACCCCAAGCAGATAGCATTTAATTCCTCATGTTCTACAAGGCCGCTCTCCCAAAGCACATCACGCCCTCCTGTTAATATATCAATGTTAGGTTGTCATAGATGTGCTGCATACCTACCTCCTGACAAATGTACAAACATGTCTATGATCTTATGTGACACCGTTTTTTCCCCCTTTATTTCTGTAACCGGCCTTGCACTGATATCATGAATACAAAAATTTCAATAAAAAAATTTGACAAAAATAAATAAATAAATCACTGCCTGTTTAAAAACCTTTATCATGACATTGGTTAACGTCTGACTGTATTCATAAGTATCCTATGCGCTCGCTAAGAGACTAATGATGATGCCATCTGTGACATTGGCACCACAATGGGCATAGCTACCTTGTACTGAGAAATTAGAGGGGAAAAAAACACAGGTGTAGCAGACATCAACCAATTTCAATTGTCATGTAAAGAGAATGCAGGGGGGTGAGGCAGGGGCTCTGCTGGACATATCTATGAACTGAAGAAAAAGTATATTTTTAGAAAGTTGGGCAATAGCTTTAATTGTATATGCTTTATACTGTTTATGTGGCTTCTGATTTGTCATGTAAGCAGTATAGCTAAACTAACATAAATTAACCACCATTTTCATTTAAGTAAAAAGGCCCTGTCTCTTTTTTCAGTTATCTCGCTTTTGCAGGTTCCCGAAAGCAAATATTTATTCAGGAATGAGAATTGGAAACAGAGGGTGAATAAGAAAACTGATTACAAATGAAGCGTGTCAGCGATTGCAGGCAAATGAGAATCCGTCCCCCTGGTGACTCCATGCGAGTTTATAACGACGCCAGACGCCTCAATTTTCTATTACTTGCCTGTCACTTTACCAAGATTCCAGACACTCTTTACAGTCATTGATCTCTGCTAAATGGAGAAAGCATCATTCTCCCTATCATCGCTCCAGGGACAGGCAACGGACAATGACATAGGACTGGAACAGGGAGGTTGCAGACCTCTATGTTTCTATTCTATACTAAACTAATGACAATAATGTGTTACATGACCTAACACATGCCAGGGTGTCCCATTAGTTGCCCCCTCTCCCCCGCCCTCCAGCTTTTTAGGGGTGAGCTGAAGCTATGCAGGTCTGGATTAATGAGTTACTAGCTTCCCAATGCATTGCACATTTTAGAAAATGATTTATTATAAAACCTAAGTGCTGTGGTAAAACTGAAAGAGGGCAGTCAGTTTGTATAGTGTCAAGTCACGGTGTATACTGGTTTTGATACACACTGCTTTATACTGACAATGACTTGGTTTGTAATAGCATAGGCTAGGGTGATGGTAATGAGTAGTGATACTGGATTAAACGGTCTCTCTCCTGGCTTACAGGGAACACTGTGTCTGCTGCAGGCAGTCTTTAAAACAGACACTTTAATCACAGTATGAGACTTCAATAGAAAGTTTGGTTATTTTGTAAATTGTGGGGGTTAAAATCTGATACAGTTGAAGCCACCGAGCACAGTAGCCGCATTGCGAGAGAGCTCCGGGCATTTGACTATCTTTTTATCCACTGGAGAGCCCAAGACACCAAATTGGTGATTTCAAAGAACTTACCTGCTATCCTAGCACCCTTATGGGCCGGAAAACCCAAAAATTAAAACTGGACAAACCGCGCCCAGGCCTGCATATTGGAGACCTCCTGTGCCAAGCAAGCAACGCAGTAGGACTCAAAATGGCCGCGTGCCCCGAGGCCTACTCGGATTACTCCAATGATTTCTCCCTCGAGGAAGAGATGGAAGCCCCACCGATTTTAAGGCCTCCAGATCTGGCACGGCGAGGCCCCAGACAAAGCACCAGTTACCACAGAGGTGCTTAAATCTCAGAAAAACATGCTGTCAGACTAGATAGCGATCCGCACTGATATCAAAGCCCTGTCAAACAGGCTGGAAACCACTACGGGAGAACACACAAAACAAACTGCCTCCCTGCAGCAGACAATTCTGGGCTTGCAGAAGCAAAACGAGTCCTACGACCGTCGCTTTGCAGCGCTAGAACACTTAAGGCGTAAAAAGAATGTGAAAATCGGCTGCATCAGCAAGGACATTCCAGTAGCAGAACGTCCGCACTTCATTGGGAACCTCATGGCGCCACTACTGACCCCAAGACAGAGCAAAATGGTGGGGCTGGAGGGATTATTCTGCATACCTAAACCACCCAAGGCCCCAGCTGCTGCACCACGAGACCTAATAGTCCGCTTTCGGAGCGAAGGGGACAGGAGGGCAGACCTTGAAGCCATCAAAGATCACACACCCTGCCAGTTTGAGAACATGCTACTCAGTCTACTCAGACCTCTCGGGAGGTACTTTAGCATGGAGGAGATCATTACTACCCTTCACGTCCTTGCTAAGAAAACACCACCTCCAATATCGGTGGCGCACGGCACGCACCCTCATGGCCCTCAAGGACGAGGAAAAATTATTCATACACGATTTGGAAGAAGCAAAAGCTCTGTAGCCGACCCTGAATCTATCACAGGACTCTCTGGCACCTATTGAAACCCGGGCAATAGACCGAACACCTCACTAGTGGATTACGGCAACAGCACGACCCTTTGTCCCTCAACGGTCCACACTGGACCTGTCAACAGTGGACTCCACCTGACTATCTTCACAAAGTAACTACTTCTCACTGTGGCTCAAATTGATATATTTTAGTTGCCTACTGCTCTCAGTTTTATCTATGTTTTATCTGTGTTTACTCATTATTGTTGCTTTTGTTTCTCACGCAATAAGCTAAACCGCACCCATCACCCTCTGCTCGATAGGTCTAAATGACCGACTAATACCCCCCCACCCATCTGCAACGCCAAGCGTCACAAAATCTCAGCTAGCTCCATATAGGCGTAAAACTGTTATGACTTACCAGTCAAATAATATAGTGACCAGGCATCCCAGGTTTCACCCTGAGAATTCCAACTCACCCTGTATCTCCTAGTATAACAGATGACAAGGCGGACTTGGATGCACCTAACTATAAGCGAAGAATGTATCCCTCACCAGCAGTGAATTAATAAAAAATAAAACATTCATCCCACGGCAGGTGTTTAAATGTTAGAACTACAAATTGTGTTTGACACCTATTCTGTCATGTGCACACTAGTCTTTTGTTCTTGATGGCATATCCTGCCTGTGGTTTGAAATCAAAAATAAAGAATTATAAAAAGAAAATCTGATACAGTTATATTATCTATGTTCAGGTGTTCAGGACTGTCATTGGGGGTAGAGCCCATACAGGTGTATGGGGCCCGTGCTCTATATTTAGAATGTACATGTATACATTTTATATTTACCTGGCGGGACAGAGGTGGCAGTGCCTGCAAGATGGTAGTGGAATGGGGGGCAGGCCCTGTGGGCAGATTCAGAGTTAGGCCCTAGTCTCAGGGGCCACAATATTTCTGTTGAGAGCCATGTAGGAGTTACAGGCAAAATAAGGTCTCTGGTACTTAAAGAGATACCACAAACACCATATTTACTACAGTTTGTTGTAATGGTTATGTAGCTTGTTGAAAACGTCAAAGTTTGCATTATTTTTTATAGTCTTCAGTAGTCACCCATCACTCCCTGTGCAATTTGCAGTATGGTTATCTGCCCGGACTCAGTGCACACTCACAGCTCAGCTCCTGCAAGTAAATAGAGGCTAGTAACTATAATGTACAGTCTGTTTACCCAGTACAAATACTTGGACGCCTCAGCAGGAAAGCTTAACTTCCTCATATGACATCAGTGAGGGGAGGGGCTGGGTATCTCGAACACTGCTTAAAACATGGAAATTACTCCCAAATGGCAAAAATTACAGGCAGCATGAAAGGTGTGCCTGACCAAAGGATCTTGGCAAATCCCTAAAAACAGACATAAAACTACTGTATGTATCCCTGATAAAGAGATCAAGGCTGAAGGCACAGGCCAGCTGGAACCTAGACCAGCCTAGGATTAAGACCCAGAGTAATGTAAAGCAAGCATGAAATTAAAGCAGAGGAATGTATTATACGGAAGGATGATGCAAAGACTCTACAGTCTAAGCAGAATGTCATAGCTTGGGCAATAACATAAATTGCTGGGGGAGGCAAGTGATAAGTAATAGGAATACCAGAAAGTTATTTAAAAAAAAAAATTAAAGAGAGGAAATCCTGGAACTGAACAAAAATGTCAAAGAAAATATAGAACATGAGGTTAGACGGAACTGAAATTGGTAATGTGTTTGTGCAAAAAATTCTGTCTGTCTGTTGGTGCCAGAGAGAGCGACAATTTTTGACAACCCTCTACCAAATAATTGTTACAAGATACAGAGTTGTAGTAGAGTACTCCTTTAAGATAAAGCATGCATTTATGTTTTGTGGCTATAGTATACCTTTTGTGTTAACTTTATACAGCAATTCTTTTATATTCCTTTGCATATAACCATTATGTGTGTTATTGCTAATACACACAGGTATACTTTTGTACCATGGACATTTTGAGGATAATTAAAAGAAAATTCCAACTAGACATAGTTGACAGTGTAATATTGTTTAATTTAAGTACGATATGTAAATCTCTCTTTGGTTAAAAGGTCAGCTCACTGCATTGGCGCAATAAAAAAAAGGCAATATAATTCATACCGCTCCAAGCATAAAGAACTTTCTAGAAAAAGAAAAAAAAAAAAGATTATGAAAAATTTAATTGAGAATGATCATCCATTAAATTTAAAAGTGTTCTGCGTGGTAATATACTAGCAGCTGAGCTGAAACCCAGAAAAAGATGGCGTGCTTGATTTGTCTAATCAGGTAGTTGTCATATTATAATAACCTCTGAATTAAAATAAGGCAGTGTTTTCATAATAGAAGGAAAACTCATTTGATGAAACCAATAATATTGTCTAGACATTTTCGAGTTCATATTATCCAATACATAAAAGCAAAATAGCTGAGGTCTACTTTTTTTTTGTGTGCAGGTAGGTACATAACATTGGCAAATGCCACAACAGCGTACATAAACATTCATACAAGCTTGGTAGTGGCATGAGTGTGTGCACATTTCTGTAGTAAAAACAAGCTCAATTGCTGGTTAAACCTTGTTGAAGTTTTACTGCATTGTAGTGTAGTATGTGAGTGACTTGGTGTCGTTTGGTATATACTACTTCAGTGAGTTGGGTGCTGGAACTTACTAGTCTGCTTGTAAAACTAGACATGTGATTCAAAGCAACTTGTCAACAGACATGTAGATTAGTAATTGAATGTAAGTGAGTAAATTAGCTAGCTAAACTGATGGGTTAATACAGTTGACCCCCATGGCTATATTAGGTCTACTTATTTTGATATTTAAGATTGCCTTAAAGGGTGTCCAGTGTGCTGCAGTGGTTATAGTGCCAGGAGCCCATGGGAGTGTCCCCATGGTAAAAGGCAACATCAGCTGACACTCTCAGTCAAGGCCGCCATTTATGGGGTTACAGCCAGTAACATGCTATGGAGCTCAGCCATGCTCTGGAGCCCGCAAGGGTCCCTGTGAATCTGTGGGGTCCACATGGGGATCAGACTATATTGCAGATCTCTGACGTCGCAGCCCCTTACAAGTAAAGCCTCTACTCATTCATCTCAAGTATGTCGGCACTGGGAGGAAGTGATGTTGTCTGTTCATATGTGCTCCCTCAGCACAACTCTTAGCCGGCGTTGTATCTTCTGGACCACAGAGAAGCTGCTCTCCTGGCAAAAGGTAGGCAAAGAGGAGGGTGGTTAAAACATCTTAAATTTTGTATGTGTGTCTGTTGGTATGTGTATGTGCTTAACTGTCCGCATGTGTGTGTGTGTGTTTGTCAGTGTGTGGGTCTGTCTGGTAGTGTGTATTGGTATATGTGTGTGTTTGGTACTGAGTATCTTTGTGTGTGTGTTTCTGTCTGCCTGTTAGGTAGTTTATATCGGGGTATGTGTGTGTTTGGAATGTATATTTGTGTGAGTGGTACTTATGTGGCATGGTACATGTGTGCGATTGGGTGTGTATGGGGGTGTGTGTTGGTGAAAGGCCCAGCCACTGGGTTTGTAAGCTATAACTGATAACAGGCCAGAGGGTTGGCACCAGGAGATCCATGAAAATGGTATACCATAAGCGATGGTCCAAGGGAACTCTGGGGAACAGAGGGCAGTAGTGGTATAGCGCTTGGCGTGTCTCTTCATATATAAAACATAGAAATGGAAGAAATTAAATTAAAAACATTCCATTACTTTTCAATGAGACCAGGGCATGGCTCCAATCTAACAGTTTATCCTAGGTATCCCGCTGTTTTGAAATGTTGTCCATGGTCCATAGTTTTTTTTTTTTTTTTTTGTCATGTAAAGAAATAAATGGACCAGCTTGCTGAGCTAATAAAAGCTGGACTGCATGTTGCTTCATTTATTTATTTTTTCCATCAATCACACACGTAAGAGGTTACTATACAGCTTATGTAGTTATGGTGCTGGCGTGGCTATTTTAAGTGGGTCTGTTAAGTTATTAATGTTTTTCCCATTGATGGCAACTATCCTATCTTGATTTGTGTGATCACCCTCTGTGTTCCAAGCTTTTGGTAGAGAATGATATGCCCTGGCAGATGTAGATGTGTGAAAACAAAAGATGAAATGAGAACAGGTCAGTGAACAATCAGGCAGTATATGCAAAAAGGACATAAGGCCTGGATTTCTACAGAGATAAAACACTCCCCAATTATTAACAGTAATATGGGCCGATCTGTTACAGTGTTTGGATGCAAAACACAAAATCTAAAATGCAATTAGTGGTTATTCCTGTATGTAACAACATTTTAGAATAAGAAGATAGACAGAATCTATTATATTAACACAGTGCTGGAATGCCATCTGTATGGAACGGCTTAAAGGGACATTCAGAGCAGCACAGCAACAGATGCTCCTGCATAGGTAATGATGATGACCCTTCAATTCAGATCTCTGCAGATAACTGCATTAATACACTCTGAACAGTAGGGAGTCAACGTATCTCTTTCCCAGAATAAGTACATGTATGATGGCGTGATTACAAATTCCACAAAAATTCTCAATACTTTGGCAGAATTCCATAGAACTTTTTGAGAGAGCCTGTGTAGGCCACCACCCAAACAAGAAATACATGAGTAGACCTATTCAGTACGGCAATTAAAGCTGCAGTTTGCTTACTTAAACTTGCCCATTTTTATAGAGATTGCCTTTTTAAAGCGTGAAATTACAGCTGCAGGCAGAGGTTCAAGGGATTTGTTCAGCACAACTATTAAAAACAATCAGGTCCACAACTGGCTGAGAGGAGAGCGCTCAATACAGAAGCTGTAAATCCCATGGTTTTGCAGAAAAATTGAACTTCAAACGGCAAGTATTTATTATTATATGTTATAATATTTTGTTTCCATTTTAATTCAATAAAAAAAATGACGGTCAACTCCACTTGTGAAAAAAAAATTCATAAATCATATTTATCAGCTAATGCTAAATACATGTATTCTACTCTTGCAGAACAGCACAAAAACAAAAATCACATTATACATATTAAATTAATGATTGTGAGCATTGCTCTGAACAAATCGGTTTGCCCCAATGGCTCCAGCAGCTAAAACAGCTTATTGCTGGCCCTTTGGCACAGCACTTGTTTGCTCATTTGGGTCTGTCCCTCCTATTTATGGAGTGCAATATTCCTTCATTGTCTAAAGAGGGTGACGGACCTATAAGATACTGACTCGCCAATGTTCCCAGAAAATTATATTTTACAAAGTTTTCTCTGAATACTTTGTTTTCTACAACTCAGTAGAAGATAATACAATGTTAGTGATTCATTAATGCAACTCTCTAAAGGTATTTTTGTCTCCGAGAAAGAAGGTCGCTCAGCAGATACATCAATAATGTCACAACAATTGCAAGTTCTTACTGATTTCGGGAGTAAATTATCCAGCATCTTGTGGATATGTATATTGCAAAAGGTTTGACTGTGATTTATTGTATTGGAAAAAATACCCAATTGCCTGCCATGATTAATTCCAAATGATCAATGAGCTTATCACAATTATATATGTGTAACTATGTCAAAACATGAAAAAAGTCGAAGATCACCTCCTATATTACAAGAATAATTTTTTTTTAAAAAACACCATAATAAGAATATATAAGGTGATAACTACTTATCAATCGTTAAGTGTCAGCCTCCCTTGGATCACCCCCAGTCAGCAATCCCACATCACCAAAGAAATATGTACAGAAAAAAAGAGGGAACCGGCTGATATCTAAGGATAAAGAGATATACAAAATATAGTGTAAATCCACATAAAACACAATAATTGCGCTGTTATAGAATGCACTCACAAGATGGTAGTATTTTCAAGCGAGTATAAGGTGCCTCCCCCGATGATGATGGGGGGCTATGGTCCACTTCTCTGGACTTTCACCACTGAGATGCAGGACTCCAGGTGGTAGGTTGAAAAAAAACAGCTTTAATCGATACAGCATAAAATTATAATAAAACAATAATAAATATATGGTCTATATATGTATACATCCTCCTTTGTTGTCCAATTTTTGTATGCTGTGCAAGTCTTTACCTCTCTCTTGCTCAATCAGCAGCTTGGGCACACTCTGTAAGAGTCCCATTCACAAAACTGTGCAGGCCAATAGTAGCCACTTTATGAATACTATAATTTTTTTCAGCAATTCAACTCATTTTAATTAATTAATGGAACTGTTGCAGAGGGCGTAACTAAATATTAGAGATGTGCAGGACCAAAATTTTCATTTTGGTTCTTTCATTAGTTCAGAAATTTTTCTGTTTTCGGTTTGTTACGAAATTTGTACGCATATCTATTTGGTTTGTCTGAAACTCGACAGATATTTTCATTTATTTACCAAGTGTCATACAATCATTGATCTTTATTGAAATTAATACAAATTGTGTCAGTCACAATAACCCCTAAAGGAGGGACATTGTTTATTGTCTCAGAACAGCAGTGGTTGTTCAACAAACAGTGCCATATGAAATTCGTTCAGTGCCCAGTTGAATCATTCGTCAATATTTTAATCATTATTTGTTCATTCGCCATTTTTATACATTTTTTTTATTTGTCCGAAAACGAATGCACATATATACTAAATATCATGTAGACCGTTCCACTTTAGCAGCTCTGATAGCAGAAGGGTTGGAGTCGGCATGTGATGCCACTGTGCACCGCGTCACCATGACAAGTTGTCGAGTAGGACTGCCCATACACTGAGTGGTGCTGAAATTATAATGTATGGGTTTAAACGCCATAGCAAGCAATTTTACGTGCTTGTTCTATGCATTTCCTCAGTTCGACTGGCACGATGGGTGACAGAGCTGGTGATTAAGGAGAAATCGTGTGAACAGATCATGTTGTTTGTAACCCCCTCCTGGACAAGGGATTTATGGATAGATTCAGACCCCATAAATTTGAATGAGGAGTTCAATGGTTGTAGCCTTTTGGAGGTCTGGGAGTGGGCTGGGTGTAACAGCTGCAGTAACTTTAATGGCCAATATCTTTTTTTATTTTTTTTTTAACCTTTACTTTCAAACAATTTTTGCATATTTTTCTAAATTGGTTTGACTTCCAGGCTTAAGTGCACCTTTTATGTAAAATTGTAGCATAAAAAAAAACCATGTAGAATATCTTGCACTTTCAATCAGCTAACATAAGAATGACAAAAAAATGACCATTCAAGCAAGTCAGTTGATAAGCTCCAGCAGATACTGAGATGGTTGTTTTTTGTTTTACCCTCAAAACCTTATGCAGTCTTATTAGACATCTGGGCACTATGCCCTCACCTAATATGGCCGCCGCAGCGTCACGTCCAATACGCTCAACCCGGAAGTGTGTGTTTTACATCAGCTCTGCTGCAAACCCGGAAATGCCGGGCAGGCTGTGACAGCTGCTCCTGCTCAAGCTGTGTTTGTTTCTTTTTCACACCCCCCCCAGCTCCAACATGATCCCGTTTACCGTCAACATCAAGCTGTCTACCCGCACGCTGACCGGAGCCCTGACCCAGAATAACAGGGGGGCGCTGGACTGGTGAGTGGCTGCTGGCAGAGGTCAGAGGTTAAAGGTCAGCCAGGTCAAGGTTGGATTCATTTAGTATGAGCAGAAGCAGATCTATGAATACACATAGAACATTGCCTGCAAAATATGTATCCCAGTGTTAGCCATTGTTTAAAGGGACAGTATAGTCACCAGGACCACTATGGCTTAATGAAGTGGTGCTGGTGTCTATAGTCAGTCCCTGCAGTGTTAGCAATGTAAACACTGCCGTTTGAGAGAAAAGGGCAGTGCTTACATTGCTGCCTAGGAACATCTCTGGCGGCTGTCACTCAGACGGCCACTAAATGCACTTTCTGGGTCAGTACTGCACATTGTCCAGTACTGGCGTTCAGCATCTCCATGCTCTTCATGGAGACACTGAACTTTTCCATTGATTCAATGCATCGCTATGAGGAGATACTGAAAGGTGCAGTTTTGCCATGCATGCGCAATATCCTCCCAAGATTGATTGATCTCAGCGATGCGGGGGTGGGGGAAAAGGGGGCGTAAAATCACCTTTGCCATACAATCAGAGAGGGGTCGGTAACCTAAATAGTTAAACATAGTGTCAGGAATACATGTTTGTATTCCTGACACTATAGTGTTCCATTAAAGACTTTCACCTTTACTGCTTAAAGCTTAGGAACTTCATAGAAAGGGAGAAAGCCCTATCAGGATTATACTACGTAACTAAGGGAGCCAGATCCATCATGGTTTTCTGGGTATTTATAAATTATACATATGGATTGGCAACATAGAAGTGCTGCAAGAGGGAAATAAAATCATTGCTTATTAAGGAATATTAAAGTACATGAATGCTACACACTGCAGGACAGCACATGTAAGTGTTGTGTGCCCAGGAAAACATAGAGTATCTGGCAGCCTTAACACGTAATATGTGTTTATAGTACTGGTGGGAGCTACAAGTGTTCTATGATGTTGGTTAGTTTTAAAGGGACATTCTCAAGGCCTCCCAATGGTCACAGTTTTGGTGTCCTGTCCTGATTTTTCTGTGTCCTGTATCCATGGACACTAGGGAACTCTTCAGCAGCACAGATGCGCTTGCACTGTGAACGAACACGAGGATGATGCAGTAAATGCTTTGGTAGCACTTTCTGCATGTTGGGGGCCAGCCAGACAGGTTGTCAGGCAGGTTGCTTGCTTGCTTGCTTCCTTGATGCCAGGCTGACAAGCCTCTTCAGTGGGTAGGCCTGCCTCTTTTCCATTGTGTCACTGGTGACACCCTCTCATGTTTTCCCACCCTGTCCTGATCTTATACCTAAGCACCAAAACCACTTTATGATATTAGTGGTGTTGGTATGACAACTCTTTTTTTTTTTTCTGGCGGTGTAATCATTTGCTGTTTATGAGAAATGTATGTAGTGACTCCTAGACAGACGGCAATTAGACACACTTCCTCATTGAAGACCTTTTGATTTTCAAAGGCCTTCACATTCACTGCCATCACAAGAAAGTATGATGACACAGAATGCTTCTAATGCTTCTCATTGATTGCTGCTGTCCACACTATTGACCAACCCCCCAACATTGGTTGATGCAAATATGGGCGCTGGTTAGTGGGTAAAAGAACACAGGTTAATGATATGGATCTTAAAACTGGTGTTGATCTGCCTAAAGAATATAACCCAAACTACTCCAGAAAATGAACAGGCTCAAATCAGAATATTAAGTGCACCTGCGTGCTATCCCCTCTAGCACAAGAAAGGCATAGTACATTGAGAAAGGGCGATTTATACCTGAAGCGTTTTGTTTGTCCTTTATTAAAAATGGTAGTACTGAGGTGCACTTAATATTCTGATTTCCACTTATTCTGTGCTTTGAGTAGTCCAACCTCAGTGCTTTTAGAACCAGCTGTAAATGTGCAGTGTCTAAACCTCTGTGTTTCCAACAATTGTTGCCCAAAGAATAGGCAGTTCAATCATGTAGGCCGGCCCTCTAAGGACAGACTAGACGAGACTGTTGTTAGCGTGCTTGTGCCCTTAGTACAGCACAATCACAGCTCTCCATGCTATGCTGTTTGTGCCCTCGTATTCTTCCAATGTTCCCTTCACCATTATTGGTATATTTGGTCAATGCACCTTCATGACTATAGGTCTGTGATGTCAGGTACACTCACAATACAGTTATATTCTGCCAGTTTCCTTCTCAACACAATAGATCTGTTTCTCCAGTGTTCCAATCGCCACTATAAGCCATTTTGTTCAGTGATACGGTCAGTGTTATACGTGTACTCTGCCAGTATCTCTCATTACTACAAGTGTTTTCTTCCAGTGACTTTCTCATCACTGTTGTCTCACATTACGATCTACACCAGGGGTGCCCAAAAGGTAGATCCCCCCAGATGTTTTAAATCTACAGACTCCACGGCGCTTTATCAATCTAAAGGCATTCTAAAGGCATGCAAAGCATCATGGGAGTTGTGGTTCTACAACATCTGGGGATCTATTTTTTTGGGGACCCCTGATCTACACTATTCTGCCGGTATAACACCACTATAGCATTCACACCATGGATTCTGCTCGGTACTAATTCCCAGCTTCAAGAGTACCAGAGAAACACCGGCAGAATGAATAAACAGGAGGTAAATTGGGGTTATAAAGGAGAAAAGCATCAATAAGATGGGAAATTCACGTACACTTTCAGAAAAAATTGTATTTAAGGTATTGCATAAATACCGTAATACCGTAAATACCTAAAATAAAAATATTTTCTAATATGGACTAATAATATTTATTTTGCATTACCTGTTAAACTCTGTTTTGTTTTCAGGGTGACTCACGAAATGTGGAATTCAATGTAAATTTCAAATGTAATAGCTGAAATGGGAACATTTTCTAAGTCAGTAATGCTTTCAGCTCAGCTACTCTGGCCTTAACTTTAAAGTCCCTTTTAAATTCTCTTTTTAGTAAATAACCCTGTTTGTTTTCTGCCAAGAGACAGTGCACGACATGACGTAATGCACCAGCCAGGGTAACAGCGAGAATGCCCTTGTGCAGGCAGAATAGCTGCATTTATGTTTTAAATTGGTCAGTAACCATTTTACATCAAGACAAAAATGGAAGCATTGGCCTGCAAGCCCTTTGTGAAGGCTAGAGGTGTGATTAACCATTTAGTGCTTACTGCAAGGACATTGAAATATTTTTGTCAGTTATTGGGATCATGAGACCTGCTTTGTAGTTGGAAATGAGGAGCTTGTGAGAAAGAAGTGTTTATAGTGTGTCTGAAATTGCTTGTTTGATTAAGCTGCCCTTTTAGTTAAACCTAAGAATACATTACCTTGCATTCTTAAGCACGAATCTCCAGAAAATAAAACATCACTGACTTTTCCTGTCTAGAATTGTAAAATGTGATCTGCCTTGATACAGATTGACTATCTATCTCTTCTGCTATTTAAAATGGTTTTAACATTTAGCAGCAAGGCTCTCAAAGCAGTTACTATGGAGGAAATGTATCAAACCGTTGTGATCAGAAAGACCGTTCAAGTTGTAAAAGGAATGTTCCTGCTTATTCCATTGGTTTCCATGGCAATTGCTTAACTATTCAAACTTTGCACCACATTTCTGATCACAACATTGATAGACCTCTCTCTGCACTTCAGCGTTTGAAGCTTCATTGGTAAGTGATGTAACTATGAACAGGTAGCGTGGTTGTCTGCCCATGGGGCACTCAGTTAATGGAACTGGAAGCCTGTTTGACCCCAGATTTCCCTTGGTCCACCATTTGAAGTTAAATAAAAATCATTTAAATTTCTGCCAGCTAAAAGGTAGTAAATACGTATGGGAAATGTAATCCAAAAATAGTTTGAGGACAAAAGTTACACATTGATGTTTTGTTGCATGTTTTATTTATATAGTATAGATATTATGTACTATTTCAAGTGGAATCTTTTTGAAGTAACCTTTTCCTAAAATGTTGCAATAAACCGTTTTTTTGTTGTCACTGATGAATATTGGGATAAGATAAAGAAAGATGAGGATGGCAAAGAGCTAAAACAAAGTCATCCACACCTTTTGCTCAGATATGCACTTGCATACATCCCTATTTTGGAAGGACAGTCCCTATTTGGGCCCAAATCCCTCTGTCCCTCTTGTCTATCGTAATGTCCCTCTTTTCTCGGAGCTCTGTATTGTTGGTGTGTCTCACTGTTTTATTATTTTCTCTTTCTTTCTAAGATACGTTGTATAGAAAGAAATTGTGCAAAAACGTATAACAAAAGAAAAGAAACATGATTTGGCCCAGGGTCTCCATGTTGGTTGATGTACCCCAGGGCTTGACAGATTGCCTTGGAATGTAGGAGCCAGCTTTTTTATAAACTACCAGTTTTTATTTTTAATTGCAAAACTACAATTCTTAAAGGGACCCTATAGTTACCAGAACCAGTACAGCTTAATGTAGTGGTTCTGGTGTCTATATCCTGTCCCTGCAGGCTTTTTAATGTAAATGTTGCCTTTTCAGAGACACCTCTTATGGCAGTCACTCAGACGGCCACTAGATGTGATTTCTAGTCCACCGTATGCACAGTGTGGTGCACCTACATACAGTGTTTCAATGCTCTGCATGGAGGCATGGAATCTTCCCCACAGACATGCTGATTGACTCAGCGCTGCATTTTGCCGTGGATGCACAATAGCCTCCCAATGCTTTCCTATGGGAAAGCATTGGCTTGGCTGAGATCATCAAGGATTGTCTCAGCCATGGAGGTGAGACCAGCCAAGGCGAAAGAGAATGGAGGGGGGCCAGTAATCTAAACAGATACACTCACTGACAGACACACACTTGCAGACTGACACACACTCACATATTTTCTCATACACTCACAAATTATTGTTGTTTTTATTTTTTTTCACTTTCCATAACTTCTACATTGGTTGACTTGCCGTATGCTATATCGTCTGATTATATTGTCAGTCCTTCAGTGCTTATATCTTGTTTGTCTTGTTTGTGAAACATTGCAATAAAATATTCATGTGGATAAAAATGTTAGACAGGTTGCAGCGAGTAAACCTGCAATTGATGCCGCAAACGAGAGGAGCTTTACTTGCGCTGTTGTCACAGACAGCAGTTATTCTAATACGTAAATAGGTAGAAACAAGACAATTCCTTTTTTTAAAATACAAGGCTTTTTATTAAACCGGCAATTGTGGAGAGTTGAGAATCATGGCAATTGGCAGCCACACTGCAAAATACTTGCATTGGAATATTTTCCAATCATATACTTTGATATAATTAGCTATTATCCCAAACTCCCTGTTTATTAGATAACCCCATTTATACCAAACACAAAAGAGGGAGCCAGAGCGTACATAATTCTGAAAGATTTAATTCTAAAATTGTAAAGCTCTGCAAAATATTTTCGTGCTAAATAAATGCTGATAATAGTAATAATTTAACTTTTATCACATATTTTAACTTTTCTTCTTATTTTCCTTCCCAGGGGCTGCCAAGGGCTTATTGCATATGGATGTCACTCTCTGGTCCTTGTTGTAGACCCTAGTTCTGCCCAGACCCTTCAGGTCTTGGAGAAGCACAAAGCCAATGTGGTCAAGGTAAGTACCCTTGTTCTATTGGATGTGATTACCCTGTTCTGCAAAGCCTGTATGAGGAATTTAATTTTAACAGCCCCACTTCTGCTCTGCAGCAGAACATAAAACCATCTGCCTGTGATAGCTGCACGCTGTCCCTGTAGTCCATCTTCTTGTTGTGTGTGTGAGGCTGATGGAGTGTTTTATTTCGTCTTTGCTCAACGCACGAGAATGTTGTGAGGATGGCTAAACGTTTCATCTTCTGTTTTCAGTTTTGCTGTTTGAGGGTAGTGTACAAAAGATACAACTTCTTCCTTTCACTCTGTGACCCTGGGGGTTTTAGATGTAGATTCAGTGAGCCGAGGCTTTTCTCCACATTCTGAACTCGCTTTGTTTAAATCTAATTAGTATGCTGCTGACAGGCACATTTTTCCTCCAAAAGAGATCTCCACAAACTCAAAGTAAACCAAAAAGAGGAACATTTTTTCCCCTATTACCTTTCTTATTCTTTCTAAATCTGACACTTCTAACCTTTTGTAAAATAATATTTTAAAGGGAAGCGTAAAGTTAGGCTTAAGTCTGTCACTGTGTGATGTCAAGTGTCCCAGTGACATTTCTTGATCTATAGACTTTTTTCTTAACGCGACAGGTTGTCTTTAAATCAGAATTGTTACTTCAGAGGTAAAAAAAAGGAACATTAAAGGTTAGCTATTATAACTATGCTTTAAGCATCTCAGATCCTCCCCCCTTCTCCTCTTACTGCATCAGAACTTGTGTTGCATTTCGAAATTAAAATAACTATCATTAGAGCATCCTTCCCTACCCAGGATCCACCTCCATCAACTCCAGCACCCTGTCTTCCTTTGCCAAGATATCTGGTAATGACCTCCTCATAATCATCAAATAAGCCAAACTTGCCACCTCCTCAACTGATCCTATATTGCACTCTCTCTTGGCTCCCCTTCTCCTGATCATGAATGTTAGTTCATTAACCTATCTGCCGCAATACAGATTGACTATCTGTCTCTTCTGCTATTTAAAATGGTTTTAACGTTTAGCAGCAAGTCTCTCAAAGCAGTTACTATGGAGGAAGTGTATCAAACCGTTGTGATCAGAAAGACCGTTCAAGTTGTAAAAGGAATGTTCCTGCTTATTCCATTGGTTTCCATGGCAATTGCTCAACTATTCAAACTTTGCACCACATTTCTGATCACAACATTGATAGACCTCTCTCTGCACTTCAGCGTTTGAAGCTTCATTGGTAAGTGATGTAACTATGAACAGGTAGCTTGGTTCTCTGCCCATGGGGCACTCAGTTTATGGAACTGGAAGCCTGTTTGACCCCAGATTTCCCTTGGTCCACCATTTGAAGTTAAATAAAAATCCATTTAATGTTCTGCCACCTGAAAGGTAGTATATATGGGAAATGTAATCCAAAAATAGTTTGAGGACAAAAGTTACACATTGATGTTTTTTGTTGCATGTTTTATTTATATAGTATAGATATTATGTACTATTTCAAAACCCTGCCAGGTTTTGACCGTTGTCCCTTCTCTCTTGCTTCTCTAGCCACCCAATCTGGGTTCTGGTCTGCCCACTCGACTGAAACAGCTCTCCTCTCTGTCTATAACTTCCTCACAGAAGTACAACATTCTAAATCAGTGGTAGGCAACCTTGTACACTCCAGATGTGATGGATTATATCTCCCCTGATGTTTTGCCAGTATTATGACTGTACAAGCATTATGGGAGATGTAGTTCACAGCATCTGGATTGCCAACGGTTGCCTAACCCTGGTCTAATCTCTTGTCCATCTTCATCCTTGATTTATCCACTGCAATTGACACTGCTCACCGGTCACCTCTTCTGCTTCCTTTTACTTGGTCTTCCACAACGCTCCATTATGCCGTTTCAACATATCTAACATGCTACTACGAGCAGACTTCTTAACGTGTCCCATTCTTCTTGTGCCTAAGCCCTTCTTTAGAACTTAACTGGCTTCCGGTATGGCAGAATCTCTCTTCAAATGCCTTACTCTCGTGTTGAAATCCCTGTGTTCTTTTTCTCCTCACTACTTTCCTGCTACACCCGTCCTCCCCGCACCTTCTACTCTACAACTCTTACCTGACTCCTGTACCAGTAAGCTCCCTTGTGATACAGCTCCTTTTCTTAATTAACTGGTTTTGGTGTATAGATCATGCCCCTTCAGTCTCACTGCTTAATTCTCTACCATTAAAGAGTTAACTAATTTGTTTTTGCAATCCTAGCTACACCTCCCAAGTCTGAGGCTCATGTAGCCTTTCTGACACACTTCCTGATAAAGAGTTGAAATATTTTATCTCCCTTATCATAGAGTCCTAACCTCAGCATCCGAGGAAAGGGATTTAGGGGTGATTATTTCTGATGACTTAAAGGTAGGCACACAATGTAATAGAGCAGCAGGAAATGCTAGCAGAATGCTTGCTTGTATAGGGAGAGGTATTAGCAGTAGAAAGAGGAAAGTGCTCATGCCATTGTACAGAACATTGGTGAGACCTCACTTGGAGTATTGTACGCAATACTGGAGAACGTATCTCCAGAAGGATATTGGTACTTCAGAGAGAGTTCAGAGAAGGGCTACTAAACTGGTTCATGGATTGCAGGATAACACAAGGAAAGTTTAAAGGATCTTAACATGTATAGCTTGGAGGAAAGACGAGACAGGGGGTATATGATAGAAACATTTAAATACATAAAGGAAATCAATACAATAAAGGAGGAGACTATATTTAAAAAAGAAGAAAAACTACCACAACAAGAGGACATAGTCTTAAATTGAGGGGCAAAGGTTTAACAATATCAGGAAGTATTACTTTACTGAGAGGGTAGTAGATGCATGGAATAGCCTTCCAGCTTAAGTGGTAGAGTTTAACACAGTAAAAGAGTTTAAGCATGCGTGGGATAGGCATAAGGCTATCCTAACTATAAGATAAGGCTAGGGGCTAATGATAGTATTTTTAAAAATTGGGCAGACGAGATGGGCCGAATGGTTCTTATCTGCCATCACATTCTATGTTTATTGCACAGTGTCTTTAATTTAGAAAGCCTCCGTGTTTGATTAAAGGGACACTATAGTCACCTAAACAACTTTAGCTTAATGAAGCAGTTTTGGTGTGTAGATCATGCCTCTCAGGTTTCAGTGCTCAATCCACTACCATTTAGGAGTTAAATCACTTTGTTTCTGTTTATAAAGTGCTTGCTACACCTTCCCTGGCTCTGATTGACATGACCTGCATGAAAAAAAATCAACAAAAACTGGTTTCACTTTCAATCAGATGTAATTTACCTTAAACAATTTTATCTCTTGCTCTGTAAATGTAACTTTAATCACATACAGGAGGCTCTTGCAGGGTCTAGCAAGCTATTAACATAGCAGGAGAATCTAAATTAAACAGAGCTTGCAATAAAGGAAAGATAAAAATTAGATGACTCTTTACAGGAAGTGTTTAGGAAGGCTGTGCAAGTCACATGCAGGGAGGTGTGACTAGGGTTCATAAACAAAGTGATTTAACTCCCAAATGGCAGATAATTGAGCACTGAGACTGCAGTGGCATGATCTATACACCAAAACTGTTTCATTAAGCTAAAGTTGTTTTGGTGACTATAGTGTCCCTTTAAAGGGACACTTTAATGATTAACTCAAGAACCTCTAAGGAAACACACTGTACTGTAAATAATAACTCCTTTTTCATGGAGGCTGTGTGAGTTACAGCCAGATGAAGGTGTGGGTAGGGCAGCATAAATAGTGATTAAACTCCTAAGTGGCACAGAATTGAGTAGTTATATTGGTGTCTATGGTATATCTTTAACATAACTAATATTTCTAAATCTGTTATTCTGTTAAAAAAAAAAAAAAAAAAGATAAACTGACTTGTGCAACTTCTTCTGTCTTCATTTTTTTACTGTTGTCATTTGGACATGTTGACTTGCATAGTTTTGAACTGATTGTACCAGACTGCCAGGAATCACAATGCAGTTTCCAAAGCTCTAGCACAGGGAGCACATACCTGGAACTTCAACTATTAATAGGAAGATAATATCTAGAATTGTCTTGATAACCTGGTTCTAGAGTCTGAGTTGCTAGCAATGAGATGAACAGCAATATAGTTAAACACTCTGATTTCTTTCCACAGGTAAAATGGGCCAGAGAGAATTATCACCACAACCTGGGCTCCCCGTATGCCCTGCGTTTGGCATCAGCTGATTCCAGTGGGAAGATTGTTGTGTGGGATGTGATGTCAGGCACAACAAGATGTGAAATACAAGAACACTCAAAGCCCATCCATGGTAAGGAGCAACCAGGCACCTGAGATGTTTGTGTTTGTGGGGGTGTTATATATTATTATTATTATTAGTAGTAGTAGTAGTAGTATTTATATAGTGCCAAACTAATTCCACAGCACTTTACAATGTTATAAAAGGGAGGGAAATTTACAATACATGAGACAATTACACAATGACACAGGAACAATAGGTAGATGAGGACCTTGCTCAAACGAGCTTACAGTCTAGATAAGGTGGGGTACAAATACACAACAAGGCAGCAAGGGTGACAGCCACCAAACAAGGTGGAAGAGTAGCATAACTGGAGGAGAGAGTGGAGTATGGCTCTTTAGGAGAGCAAGAGACAGACTTGGGTAAGTATAGATAAGTTACTCTGGGAGTCCATAAGCATTTCTGAACAGATGTTTTGAGGCACTTCTTAAACAGTTGAAGACTAGGGGAGAGTCTGATGGCGGTAGGCAGGCTGTTCCAAAGGAAGGGAACCACCTGTGAGAAGTCCTGCAAGTTTAGCAGTAAGGTTGCGAGCAGCGGACAGGAGAAGATCACCGGCAGAACGGAGAGACCGAGAAGGGGCATATATACGAATCAGTGAAGAAATGTAAGAGGGGCTAGAGTTGGTTAGAGCTTTATAGGTAAGGGTTAGTATTTTGAATTAACACCTATATGATACAGGGAGCCAGTGTAATGATTGACAGAGTGGTGAGGTATGGGAGGAACGAAGGGTGGCAAAGATCAGCCTGGCAGTAGCATTCATTGCCAATTGTAGCGGGGCAGTTTGGCTTTTGGGGAGACCAACTAGGAGAAAATTACAGTAATAAATGCGAGAGATTACCAGAGCATGAACAAGCTCCTTGGCAGCATCTTGCGTGAGAAAGGGGCAGATGCGGGCAATATTTTTAAGGTGGAATTGACACCTTACAATTGTAAGCTACATATTAAACGTCACTTTACACTTTTTCTGTAGATATGCAGTGGCTCTGGAGTCAAGACGCGTCTCGTGACCTGTTGCTGGCCGTGCACCCTCCCAACCTCATTGTGCTTTGGAATGCAGACACTGGCACCAAATTGTGGAAAAAAAGCTACGCGGAAAACATTCTGAGTTTTTCCTTCAACCCTTTTCAGCCCTCGCAACTTGCATGTGAGTGTCAGAAACCCATAAAGGGGTATTAATGATCACACTAATATTAGCCCTTTATAAAACCACAGTAAATCCTCATCTTGAATATGTGGTGCAAGTTTGGGGCTAGTTTGAAATCTAGATATTAAAAGTGCAGGCTTCAAATGAACAAGGGGGATGAAAGGTTTCCGCTAATAAGGCTAGTTAAAAGGGTATATCGTAGACTTGTACATATATTGTAAATACAGGGTCAGTACAAACCGCTCTCTAGTAACCTGTTAATTAGAATGTCTGTACAAATCCGAAGTAATTGTTTGTGACTTTTTTATTTATTTTGTGCTTGAGGAAAGGGGGTTTCGTCTAGAGGAAATGTTTTGATACTGTAAGAACAATAAATATGTGGAATTCTTTACCTAAAGTGTTTGCTTTGTGGGGTGCTATACAGATTGGGGGAAAATATATGGGTTTTTATTAGTTTGTTTTTTAAAATAATATTCAACAATATACTAGTTGATGTTTTGGGTAACAGCTTATTGATCCTGGGAGATGTCTGGTTGCTCTATTAGATATGGTAGAACTGGGTCTTTCACCTTCTTTTCATTCAGCCACAGATTTTTTTTTTGTAAATCTACTTTACTTTGTGACATAGATCTCTTGTCACTGTACACGTGTGAAGTGGTTATATGATTAATTAAATCCGTGATACCTAACCCAGTTCTCTAGGGAGCTTACAGTCCTGGTTAGAAACAGAATTAGGAAATCTCTAAATTCAATCTGACTATTGGTGCCCTTTATTCTGTTGGAAAACCACTGGTTTTAGAGATTTAACAGAAAATTTGTTTCACAATGTCTTCTTTTTGCAATCTCTTTTCATAGTGCTCACCAGTGAGGGCATTGTGTTTGTCTCTGACTTTTCCCCATCCAAACCACCCACTAGCACAGGACGGAAGGTGTATATCTCCAGCCCTCATGCCAGCCCTATTCATACCAAACCTGCTACTGCAACCGGTGCCAAGAAGGCTCTCAACAAAGTTAAGATTCTTATCACCAACGAGAAGCCCAGGTGAGTGTTTAGAACAGGTAACCATGCGTATACACGCATATTATAATTTATTATAAGATTCCGTAGCAGGAATGTGGCATAATGCAACAACCTCACAGATCGGTTTTGTTTTATGGTAATGTTCTATGTCAGAAACCATTTGACAGTACTGAAGAACACACGTCTGGCAGTCCAAAAGTTCTTTACTTTAGCAATAACATGGCTTGGCAACAATATTCCTAAAAAAATATGTTCTATGTTCTTGCACTGTTGAGTGATTATTATTTTTATTTTATTTTTTTTAAAGGAATACTTAAAAAAAATTTTATTTCTTAGAGGTTGGTTCGTTCATTTTTCTTGTTTAAATTCAGCCATGCCCAAATCCCGACCCTTTCCCTCTGCACACACACACTTTCATTTAAAAATACTTGACCTTTTTTACATTCTTCTTTGCTCTGTCCCTGAGAACATACTGGTGAAGCATTGAGGACCTTGGGCACATTTATGGCAGTTGCCACTTTATGCCAATACAATGCTTCTCTATGAAACGCGCTCACTACGGTTTGCATGCAGCGAGTGTGAGGATAGAAAAGCTTTTATAAAATGAAATAAGATGATGGATAGCAAGTTTACTCTTAAAGCACTTGAGCTAGCTGGACTGACTCTTAATTATTTTAACCGGAATTAAACCAGCGGTGAATATCTATGCTGTCTTTGCCATCTACAAGCTTCTACTGCTCTATAATTATGATACCAAGAAATTTTTATGATATTGAGCCATAAACAACATTACTAATGATACCGGAGAGTGCAACTCAACTGTTCATGGTACACCGGTATCTGCCCCATCTCGAAACCTTCCACTTGTACATGAGACACATTTGTACTTTTTGATAAACCCAGATTAAGTTGCTGAGTCTTATTTTTTTTTTTAGGATCTCATTCTTGCCTTTTTTCACTATATTGCATGGTAATGCATTATATATTGAGAGCTAGAAGGGCCTGTTAAGGTGTACGCTTCTTTGTGATCAGATTCTAATACTGTTTGTTTACTTTCTTGCAGTGCGGAGGCTGTGACCCTTAATGAATGCTTGCAGCTCTCTTACATGCCTTCGAAGCGAAACCACATGCTACTTCTTTACCCACGAGAGATCCTGATCTTGGACCTGGAGGTCAATCAGACTGTTGGAGTTGTAGCCATCGAAAGGACAGGTGTCCCTTTCTTGCAGGTAGAAACACTTTCATGTACATTTGTCAGTACCAAGACATTATATAAATTAAGGAGGGCATTTCTTTAAAAAAGGCACTGCATTAGAGGATTTGCAGGATTGACCGGGAGTACATGATTCACAGGATGTTAATATAATTTTTCATTGCTGGGGGTGGTGAGAACCTTAATGTCTGTTATTTACCACCAGTGTGCATGTGGCAAATACAGTTCCTTTAAACACTACTCATTGTGCAAGAATAGAAAGTTATGTCAGATTCACGGGGGTTCAAAGTCATGGTCAGCTTCTAAATAACTCTCATTGATATTTCTCTAGAAGCATAAAGGTGTATGTACCTAATTCAATCACAGTCTTTAGATCTTTTCAGACCATTTTGTATATGTTGCCAAACAAAAACATGCTGTACCTATCGTGTTAAGTTCTGCAGTCTACCTCCACACACACACACAGACCCGTATTGATGTCTAGAAATATAGCTAAGATGTTCTGCAATTAATCCTACTGAGATATATCGGTATCTCAGGATAAAGATTTTTCAGAAATGCTTAGTCTGCTCAAACAGGATTTCTGATGTTAAACTTTGCATTGGATTGTGAGATCCTGGACATCATAAAAGACTTGCATGGTGTTGTCCTACCTTCTAGTCTCGAGCTTTCATTGGGTAGCAGTGTCCAGAGATGGAGTTAATTTCTAGGTGTAGATTCAAGCACCCTGCCACCTTTTAACACTAAATACTACTGCCTGTCATAGTAGAGAGTTGAATTTTCAGCCAACTTGACAGCAAACTCTGTAGTTGCTTGATCCTAGAGGGTTCAGGTGAACTTTTCATTTTCAACTTATATTCAATATATATACATGCCCATAGCACGAAGCAGTCCAAGGAACTCACTTTAGTGATTACCAAGTTGAGAATTGTCACCATGTCGTGCAACTATCATTATAAAGTCATGATCTGGGGTTTACGTGACTAGTCTCCATTAGTGTTTTAATGGCTGTTACTTGAATGTCTCTGCTCTATTACTACCCAGGTGACCCCATGCTTTCAGAGGGATGTGCTTTTCTGTCTCCATGAGAATGGCTGCATTTCTATGCGTGTTGGTAGGCAAACTTGTGGAAGTTCAGGGGCCCCAAACGAGGAGACGGGTAAGGCTGTTAATATATCTGCTACTGGTAAACCATTATACCAAAGGTCACAAAATGGTACTATTGTTTATAAAGTGTTGCAGAGTTGATCTGCAACTGTTATGAAAAAATTTGTAAAGTACATGTACTATTGTTATTTAACATTAGAAGCAATACAAAGTATATAGAGAGAATCTACTGTCAATTTACCAACAAGGATATACACTAAGGGGAGAATTCTACGTGAATTCAAATTTAAGGTCAAATAGATTAAATGGAACCATAGTCTCACGGGATTCTACAGAGACATCAATGTTGTGCTCTGGGTCATGTCGTGGGGCCATGGCAGATCAGACACCAGGAACTGAAGATAGTCCAGTGGGTGCAGATGGCAGCGGTTGCGAGGGCCAGCTTCAGGTAAGTAAAACTTACCCTTCTCTGCACCCCATGGCCAATGGACACCGAGTGATGAAGTCACCATCGGGGATCTTTGCAAATTATGTGAAGACACCAGAAGAAGAGTAGAAAGAGCTGCTTTACATTTTAAATTCACTTTGAAATACTATCATTTCTCACTTTAGTTAATAACCTTGCATGAGTTTCATTATAGATCCATCTACTTTCACTATGTCAGATGTTACTAGGCAGATCCATTACCAGTATACCTGGTGTAGACCTACTTTTCTGATACTGGATCTACCTTTGTAGCGATATGATAAAGCATACCTATTACAGTTATTCTAGATATATAAAAGTAGATCAATTATTGTTAAATCAAGTAGAACTACCAGTGCCCTAATAAAGGGCTTCCTAAACAATGATTTGTAAGACCAGGGCTAGAGATGAGCCAAATCAGTCTAGCTAGAATAAATTGGTCAACTAAACTAACGGAACGCCACAAAACAGGCACTTTACACATTTTGTTTTGTAGGCAATTCTTCGATTCACAAATTGTCCAATGAGTCTCTTTAATTTGAGTGACCCTCTTGCCATGACTTGAGTTTGTGAATAAACGTATGATTCTTTAATAACAGAGGGATCTGGCTACTTTTCTGATTCTTGGATTTATACCAACTGTTACAAAGTAACTCTGCTGACGTTAGACCAAGTGTTACGAAGTCTATACCCTGACCAACTCTGCAAAGTGGAACGTTCTCCCCCACTGTTTACTATTACTGCTATGTGACTGGCAATCAGCTGTTTGGCATCAAGATTAATTGTCTACCCTAATACCATTACTTGCAATGCTTTAAAACCATGGCAACTAAGACAGCCATCTGAAAATCTGCAAAATTGTCTAAAAAGAAAGGGCATCCGCATTAATTTTATACAGTGGAACAGCTGTTGGGGTGTCAGACACCGGCATGGAATGCGTTGAGCACAAATGGTTTCTATGCAGAATTAATGAACAAACTGGGTACCCTGCAGATCATGGTCTCATTCGCAACACTACATCTGCAGATTCTGAAATACCAGTATCCTCCCTGGAGATTAAAAATGTTCTTCACCTAATCCTGAGTTCACAAATCATTTCGATCTTGGGAATTTTTTTGTTTTAGCATTTCATACAGGGTGACGAATCTGCTGTGCCTGTAGAAATATAGCTATAGTGATTTTTTTAAATTAAACCATTGTAAATGAAAGCTTAGGGCACAATTAATTTTTGATATTCTTTGGAAACGCTCAAACAGCGGATGTAAATTTATTTAATGTTGGCTGTAAAAAAGGCGAGCTCTATTGTGTTCCGAGCACTTCAAACTAAATGAATCCCAGTGGATAATGTAGATAGCACTGATCATCATACCCCACAAGGATTTGGAATATGAAAATTGCAAATTATATGATTTTTCCCAGAGGAAACCAAATGCTCTTTACAAACAAATCACATCATTTGTCTCTTCAGACTCTGATGCCGTGCCAGAAATGACTTATGATCTTCGCTGCCAGTGTGACGCCTTCCGAGTCACTAAGACCGTCCGTCCATACAGCATAGCATGCAGTACCATCAATGAGAATGCCATTGCCCTAATAATCAGTGATGGTCGAGTTATGATCTGGGAGCTGAAATCAGGTGTATTGGGAAGAAAGAATCCTAATGCTGGGTAATAATTTATGTTCTTTGATATTCATGGACTGTGTATCATCTGTGACTCAATCACTTTGTTGTTTTCTGAAGATCACCTCCTAATCTAAACTTTACAAACCTATATTATGTAGCATTTACACTCGGATACCATGTAGATTAGCCTGATACGGCTCATCCTGTATTGCCTGTTGTTTGTTACAGAGTTGCTTTCCCTTCTGCAGCCAATGTCTCTGCTGTTCTTTGTATCGGATAACACAGACACTTTGCTTGAGATGCCTGCACTGTTAAACTAGGAGCCACAGACTGGCCTTACTAAATGCATTCACTACAACAGGCTGAGTGTGATTGCGTTTGTGATCTTATGTGAAGACCAAACAGCCAAGCATGCAGGAACTACCATGGTTTTTGTCAGATGTGTGAAGGGAGAGTGCCAATTCTCCATTAATATATACTGACTGATACTTTATCATATATGATTTAATTAAACATCTCGCCCATCACTGAGATGGAAGTGTTTGAGTTTATGTGGTGATGTAGGCATTAATTCTACTAATGCGTTGTCTTCTCTTTTCCCCTATTGCTTTAGGTCCTGTGCTTTATATGCCCCATCTTCATTCTGCGGTAATCCGGTCGATCCTGCCCAAAGAAAACTTCCCGATCTCTCTCTGGACAGTATGATTGGTAAGACACAGAATGACTACTAATTAGATAGATACACAGTATTCTTAATCTGCAACATGTTTGACACTCTTTCTCTGGCGTAAAGTGACTTCTAGTTAACTGGTGACTGGCCTACCGGTATTTTTATTTATTTATGGTCATTTTTTTAACGGGGTTTTTCTAATATTTTCACTGACGTGTTTATTTTACTTGTTGTTCCACTAGTGATGCCTCTCTTTTGCAGCTTCTTACAGGCATAACCTGTGAATTCTTATAAAGGAACATGATATTAGATCTCTGTGGTAGGCTGAACGAATGCTACATTATGTATAGAACAGTATCCCATAGACTGTATTGAAACACATGTCATGCGAAGGAGATGGTACACTCGGGCATTGATAAACTCGTTGATCAAGCAGTACATTAATACTGAGATGTCTTCACTCTGTTTCTGTAAATTAACCAAATTCAAAAGCTGCTGGAATGTAAACTTTTAAAGTCGGGGGTGCTGGCACTTGCATCTACGCTTCGATTATTTGCCAATGTTTTATGATCGATTTAATGCTGTGCATGTTTCATACAACTGAGAAAATACAATTTAAAATTTTTAAAGGAACATTCTAATGTTAAAAATATATTTTTAATGTTGGAATGTTTCTTTTTTTTTTTTTTTAGTTTAGATAGCGCCCCTGAAGAGATTAAAGCAATTAAACTTACCTGTAATCCAGTGCAGGGATAGCCTCCATTCTGCAATGTGATCCGCTTACTGTGAAATCATCCATCGTGATCATGTCAGACGCTTCTCTCATAGAAGCATTCAGTACCTACAGTTCATGCGCAGTAGTCAGTGCACTCCACAAATCCAGTAATAGAAGCATTGAAACCAAGCACATTAGCCTCGTTAGGCATGATCATGCTGTGTTTGACATTTTGAAAATCAAAACTTTTAGCATGCAATAAAATACAGGACTCCCAACTGTCCTGCTTTTGTCCTGTATCCATTGACACCAGGGAACTGTCCCCGGTAAGCTCAGTGCCAGTGCATCATTAGATGGCTACATGTGGAGACCATACATGTAGTTCGAAAGCGTCAGGGTTCCTGCCTGCCAACCTGACCTGCTTGATGGCACATCAGTGGGTGGGCACACCAACATCCAAGGTGGGCACGCCCATTATGGGTGTCACCATTGATGCAACTTGCATAACTGGTAATACCCTCTTAAAGACTAAGCCTAAAATGGTCAGAATTGTGGCAACTGACATTTAATGTGGATAAGTGCAAGATAATGCATCTTGGACGTAAAAACCCAAGGGCAGAGTACAGAATATTTGATAGAGTTCTAACCTCAACATATGAGGAAAGGGATTTAGGGGTGATTATTTCTGATGACTTAAAGGTAGGCAGACAATGTAATAGAGCAGCAGGAAATGCTAGCAGAATGCTTGGTTGTATAGGAGAGGTATTAGCAGTAGAAAGAGGGAAGTGCTCATGCCATTGTACAGAACACTGGTGAGACCTCACTTGGAGTATTGTACACAGTACTGGAGACCGTATCTTCAGAAGGATATTGATACCTTAGAGAGGGTTCAGAGAAGGGCTACTAAACTGGTTCATGGATTGCGGGATAAAACTTACCAGGAAAGGTTAAAGGATCTTAACATGTATAGCTTGGAGGAAAGACGAGACAGGGGGGATATGATAGAAACATTTAAATATATAAAGGGAATCAACACAGTAAAGGAGGAGACTATATTTAAAAGAAGAAAAACTACCACAACAAGAGGACATAGTCTTAAATTAGAGGGACAAAGGTTTAAAAATAATATCCGGAAGTATTACTTTACTGAGAGGGTAGTGGATGCATGGAATAGCCTTCCAGCTAAAGTGGTAGAGGTTAACACAGTAAAGGAGTTTAAGCATGCGTGGGACAGGCATAAGGCTATCCTAACTATAAGATAAGACTAGGGACTAATGAAAGTATTTAGAAAATTGGGCAGACTAGATGGGCCGAATGGTTCTTATCTGTTGTCACATTCTATGTTTCTATGTTTCTATGTTTCTAAGCCACTTGTTCTGATTTCATAACTCCCAGTGTTGTAAGGTATACCGAAATCTATCAAATGCGTTAAAGTTGTATTAGTGCCCAGAGTGCCCCTTGAACATTAACTTTAAAACAAAACACTTGTCAGAATTATAGCAAAATATATATATAGGTAAAGAGACATTCCAAGTACCATAGTTACTTTGACTTGCTGTAGTGGTTATGGTGCAAAGACGCTGTCTCTGTGCTCTCTTATCTTAAAACATTGCCATTTTATTAATATCTGTATAAATGTTTGGAGCTATAACTCCCCCTCCGGCTACTCTGCGTAGATGAAGATGCTTTCTTCATGGTTTGACTGTACAAATATTTATACAGTGTGAGTATCGCATGTTCAAACCAAACAAATCAGATGTGTCTGCTTGCAGGTGCTGTGCTAAAGAAACACCCCTTGCAAGTAATTCAGCTACACTAACCCGAGCAGTGCTTTGAGCGTACATTTTAATATGATTAAGGGGGGAAAACTTTAAATGCCGATTCTCCCCAACATTCCTCCCCATCCTGTAGTCACTGGTAGAGAATTGGCTGTGGGGAGAACCTGGCCTGGGCGCTAATACAGAGGTAACATATTGCTGCTTTTTTTTGGCGGGGGGGGGGGATTGATGAGAGGGGTGGTCAGGTGTATAATTTAATTGACCAAAAACAATGTTTTCTTAGAACACTGTTTTTGGTTGGAGTAACCCTTTACGCAATGCTTTTTCCTTTACATGCTCAATAACTATATTCTGTATTTTTTTTATTTTATTTTCCAGATTCAATAATAGCAGTAATAATATAATCTGGGGAACATATAAAGCGGAGTACACCATAAATGTAGTCCTGTAATAACTACTTTCCCCCAGGACATTTAAAAAAAAAAAAACTGTGAAATCTCAGTGTTCCACCTGGAAGAACACTTTTATTATCTACACAGCTTTTATTGAGAAATCTATACATATTCCTTACAGTTTGTCATTTTGTAGGAATTTTTAAAAATATAAAAAATGGAGTTAAAGGGAGACTATTGTCACCAGAACAACTACAGCTTATTGAATTTGTTCTGGTGAGTAGAATCATCCCCTTCATGCTTTTTGCTGTAAACACTGTCCTTTCAGAGAAAATGCAGTGTTTACATTACAGCTTAGTGATAACTTCACTGGCCACTCCTCAGATGGCTGCTAAAGCTGCTTCCTGGTGCAGTGCTGCAGAGTAAGCAGCACTGCCATTCAGTGTCTCCACAGTCTGCATGCAGACACTGAACTTTCCTCATAGAGATGCATTGAATCAAATCATCTCTATGAGTAGATGCTGATTGACTAGGGCTGTGTTTGACTTGTGCTGGCTCTGCCCCGATCTGCCTCTTTGTCAGTCTCAGCCAATCCTGTGGTGAAGCATTGTGATAGGCTCATAGAATTGCTTCTGAAGATGTCAGCAGACAGGGCCAGGTTAGAGGCAGACAAGGGCAAAGCCAGCAGCTACAGACTTGAATATAAGTATATAAGAGTTTACTATATTTAGGGAAGCAAGAGGGAGCCAGATGGTGGTTTTAACACGATAGGGTAGGAATACATGTTTGTGTTCCTGACCCTAGAGTGTTCCTTTAAGGAACTGCACAAAGAAGGAATGGGTGGGGAATGGGTAATTGGAACAAGTTGAATCAATTGTATCTTTTTGGTCCTGGAAAAGCATCAAATCAATATGGGTTTCTATTTTTCAGCTGGACAAAGCATGCTGGGATGTGATCCTCAGTCATCTGGAAGTCCTCTTCAGGAAGTGCACCTTAAATTTTTGCTCACTGGTCTTCTTTCTGGGCTTCCTCAGCCACCATTTGTGGTCAGAATGTGCCCTCCTCTGACTACCAAGAATATCACACAGTACAAGCCCCTGCTGGCAGTTGGTAAGTCTTTTGCCAGGTGTAGCCAAATGGCTCTCCAGTAAATTTTTAAAACCACAGCTCCCAAGATGCGTTGTGATCAGATTGCAAGGTGTCTTGGAAACTGATGTTCTATGTGTTGGCTGCTTCTGTACGGTTCCTGTGTTACCATACAAAGTGCTGCTTTCTTTGGTTCGTTCAATGCCATAGATGCCCCCATTTTACATATTTCTAAGAAGTCTGTTGATATTCCATGTTGTATAATCATATGAAGGGACATTTCAGGTGTTGAGGCTATTTTGATGACCATAGAGTGTCATTGTCTAGATCAGGGGGAGTCAACCTTTTAATACCTACCGACCACTTTTGTATCTTTGTTGATGGTAAAATGTTCTTACTGCCCACCAGTGCCACAATAACTCATTTTATAGCGCAAGTGAAAAGATTTTTTACATTTTTTAATTTATTTTTTTAATGGACACTCCAGGCACCCAGACCACTTCTGCCCATTGGAGTGGTCTGGGTGCCAACTCCCACTACCCTTAACCCTGCAACTGTAAATATTGCAGTTTTTATAAACTGAAATATTTACATTGCAGGGTTAACTCCTCCTCTAGTGGCTGTCTTCTAGACAGCCACTAGAGGGCACTTCCTGGTTTATAGCACAGATCTGTGTTACAGCGTCGCTAGACGTCATCACGCTATGTGAGGATCTCCAGCGTCGCTGAAATCCACATAGGAAAGCATTGAAAGCATTTTTCAATGTCCATTAGGTCGCCCCCTCCAGCCGCACATGAGCAATAGGTCTCCCCCGCCGGATGACGTCGGCGGGGGAGAAGCGTGGGCAGACCCTGAACCATCGGCTCTGGATACAGGTAAGTCACTGAAGGGGTGGTGTCAACCTGGGATGGGTGGTGGGAGGGACTAGAGTGTCCCTTTAAATATGTATTTAAATGTATCTATTTTTTGCCTTTTTCCCTATTTTCTATTCTTTTTTTTTTTCTGTCTATGAGGTGCTGTGTGTGTGTGTGAGAGGGCAGTCTGTGTGTGCGTGTGAGGGGGCAGTTTGTGTGTGTGAGGGGGGACAGCGCATGCGTCTGTTTGTGTGTGAAGGGTGCATAGGGTTTATGTGTGTAGATGGGTGAGCTGTGAAAATCTATCTTAATGTCTCCCCCTCTCTTCTTCTTACTGTTTACCAGGGATGGGGGACATAATGCTGCAAGCCCTGGTGGTCCAGTGGTGGCATGTTCACATTAGCCTGCAGCTCCTCTGGCTGCAGGCCAACTCTCCTGTCCCCCTGCTAGCACTTCACAGCACTGTATTGGAGTGTTGCCATGGTAACGCACGGCAACACTGCAACCAGCCTGCTCGTGGTGAGAAACATAGTGCCTCCCAGGTCCTTCCCTCTGCTGGAACTAAGGGCCAGTGAGGGAGATCTTTGATCTCCCCACCAGTCAGAGAGGGCTTACAGCAAGGCTGGCTCTGCATGGGTCAGCAGGGAAGATGAAATGATCTCTCCTGCCGACCTTGGTTCACAGCGAACAAGGCCCACTGAGCATTTTCTGCAGAACCCACCAGCGCCCACCTGAAATCCCAAACCGCCTACTAGTGGGTGGTAGGGACCAGGTTGACTACCCCTGGTCTAGATGGTGACCCATTTAACATGGGATTGTCTTTTCCATGTATGTAGATTTTGAAGGAGTTGCTCTAAAGAAATTTTTATCTTAAAGTTGGAATGGTTCTGACTGGTTGTGAACTGAAAACTGTCCTCTAACTCTCAATGCCTATTTTTACAGGTACAAGCAATGGTTCTGTCTTTGTCTACAACCTGACAAGCGGTCTATTACATAAAGAATTAAATATACATTCCTGCGAGGTCAAGTGAGTGTTTAAAAAAAAAAAAAAAAATCCAGCTCATTAATTCTAGCTTTATGGCCTAAATTATCATTTTTTTGTATATAAAAAGGTAATGGCTTTGGAGCATTCTATATCCTATCCCGGCCTACTTTGTTTGAATATCCCATTGTCAAGTACTTCAGTCTTTCTGTTTTAAGGTACATGTTCCAACCTGCAGTGTTCACTAACACAATTGTACATGTTGTCAGGACGCACAGCAAAGATTTCTGGGAGCTTTAGTTCAGATAGCCGTTTCATAAGCAGAACTGAAGAGCAAGTAAACTCATCATGAACACTTTATCCCAGTGCTGGGTTAAACATGTCCTGCAGCTTAGATTCAAATTCAAATGCTCAAATTGATAGACTCCTGATTGGCCATGCTACTTCCTAATGTAGGCTAACAAAAAGACTGAACTTTAAAAGTAGGTATCCATAGGCGTGCGCACGGGGTGTGCCGGGTGTGCCTGGGCACACCCTAATCCCCGCGGCACGCACTATGTGCCTCCCTCTGTGGGCCGGTGAGGGAGATCAAAGATCTCCCTCACCAACCCACAGGCAGGGAGGGAGGCAGGAGAGGACCCGGGGAGCTCTTGTCAGCAGCTCCGCCGGGTTCCTCTCGCGCGGTCGGATCGTTACCACGGCAACGCTCAGATCTCGCGAGAGTGAACTCTAGCCCCACAGGCTAGAGTTCACTGTCCACTGGACCACCAGGGAAGGCAGGAGCACGGTCCCCCCTCCCTACATAAGGTAAGAAGGGAGGGGGGATATTAACTAAACGGCCCACACATTACACACACACACTAACACCCTCACACAGGCACACACTAACAGCACCCTTACACACAGCACCCTCACACACACAGCACACACTAACATCACCCTTACACACACACACACTAACAGCACCCTCACACTAACAACACCCTTACACATACAGCACCTTCACACACTAACAGCACCCTCACACACAGCACGCTTACACATACACACACTAACAGCACCCTCACATACACAGCACCCTTACACAGCACACACTAACAGCATCCTTACACACACAGCACTCTCACCCACTCACACAAAGCACACACAGCAGCCTCACAGCACCCTTACACACTAACAACACCCTTACACACACAGTACCTTCACACACACACAGCGCCTTCACACACAGTGCCCGCACACACACAGTGCCTTTACGCACAGCACCTACACACAGCACTGTGTGTGTATGTATGTGTATATGTGTGTGTGTGTGTGTGTGTGTGTGTATGTATGTATGTATGTGTATATATATATATATATATATATATATATATATATATATATATGTGTGTGTGTGTATATATACGCGGCGTGTGTGTTTCTGCTTTAGGGTGCACACCCTTATACAATAGGCTGCGCACGCCTATGTATGGATCCTTTTTTTTGGGGGGGGGGGGTTCTTGTTTCTACATATTTTAATACATTATCTGTAAAGTGCATTCAAAAAGAATAGATTGATTTGTTAAATCTTCAAGTTCTCTCTGCTCACTCTGTGCACCAGTGTCCTTGCTGGTCTCTGTTTGCTTTATCAAAGGCCTGTAATTTTCCAGCATTTCTAAAAAGCCTTGTCAAACCGTAAATTGCCAGAGGCAGAGAAAGATGGGTAGTACGATTTTCCTTTACTCTAAGTTTTCTGCCTTTGGAATCGTTGACAGAGAGGTTTGCTTGCAGTCTAACCACATAGCTGAAAGAATGCAGAATGGCTACCCATTGTCTATTGTGATTTAGGAGGAGGGAGCTGAGCATGTGCTTGTTAGATGGAAATGGAGAATATACAGTTATAGAAATGTTAATTTAATTTAGGTTTACTTTTGATATGAGGACATTTTGTGGTGTATGGATCACTCCTTTTCTTTTAGTGCTATAGGAAGTCTGCATTTTGTTTTTAATGTGCAGTTTTTATTTCCAATTGTAAAGGTATATATCAAAATACATGAATCGTATATTAAGGTGTGTGTTTTTTTTTGTTTTGTTTTTTTATAAAGCAAATAATAAAACCAAATAGTATATACTGCTGGTATAAGAGGATCGGCATAATATTATTGTATAAGACTCAATTGGAGTTGTACCAGGTACACTGAGCTTTTCAGTCTAGCAACTGCTAACATGCTTGTGTAACCCAGGCCTTTATTAGCACCTAAAATGCACTGTGAGCACTGCCTGTGTTGTTTTTACTATGCTGTATGTTACTTAAATACACCCAAGCCCGAACTCTAAACTCACCATCACATCTCAATTACAGGGGCATTGAATGGACCAGTCTCACTAGCTTCCTCTCGTTTGCTACATCTACCCCAAACAACCTTGGTCTGGGGAGAAATGAACTTCAACTGGTGGACCTTCTTACAGGTTGCTTCTTCTGTTATCCTATTGTGTATTTGGTGCCTCTTCCTGTATTTCAGTTCATGTGTTCAGTAGTAGTACAATCCATTTCTTGTGTTTGAGTATTCGGTTGCAGGATACCACTAAAGAACCTTAGTAACAGGTTATTTTGAGAGTTGTTGGGGATCCATAGCATGAAGGATTGATGCAGTAGCAGGTTTAGGTCTGGACTCGGTCCGGGGGAACAGGCTCTCAGTATCTGAACTTATTCCTAGATGTTCAGTGTTTGTGTTTACGTCTCTCACATGAGTAGAGGTGAGAATGCTGCCACAAAGGGAGCAGAATCACAAAATGGGTAAAACTAAATACCCCCAGTTTGTGACAGTAAATATTACATACCCGTATGGTCCAGCAAAATGTTATTCATAATCATTTAGATCTTTAAAGGTCATATAGATTTAATGTTTATAAAAGCAACAGAGAGAACCAATATTACATAGTGTAACATATAAAACTAAAACCTACAAGATAAGTATTAAACTGTCTAATATGCAGTATGGCTTCTTCTGGGCCCCAGGATACATAGAACAGTTGTAGGGTACATAGAACAGTTGTTCAATCTAATGAGAAACGATAATCCGGTCGATCCTTGCGCAAGAAACCATGACAGGACTCCAAACTCTGTGGTTCTAAAAAAATAAAAATGTGTTCTGTGAAATTCATTTTCTGATCTGTGTGCTTACAGGAAGGAGTGTGGCATTTAGAGGCGAGAGAGGCATTGATGAGCAACCCATGGAGATGATTAAAGTGTCTCATCTGAAGTAAGTATAGTATGCTGCAGACTGGAACTGAAACTTTAATAGAAGGGTAGGCAACCTCTGGCACTCCAGATGTTGTAAACTACATCTCCCCCAATGCTTTGCCAGCACTATGGCTGCAAATGCATTATGGGAGTTGTCGTCAACAACATCTGGAGTGCCAAAGGTTGCCTACCCCTGTATTAAGGTATTTAATAGCATCCGAAAACTTATAGAGAAGTTAGTAGGAAGTTTTCGATCAATGCACTGAAGCTGGGGAAAAAAAAAATTTTTTTAAGTTAAGTGCTATGAGTTAAAGTGGAAGTGTCCCTCCCTGAGCAGTATCTCTTCACTCCAGTAGACGTTATTTCAGCATTTACTAGGATAAATAAAGCAGCTGCAGTAAATAAATAAATTGGTGGTGGGGGAGCTTTTCTCCGGCAGTGCCATATTTGTACCTGCACCAGTTACACAGCACTGCAGAGCTAACCGTGTTACGTAAAATAAACCATAAAAAAATAGCACAATCAGTAGCTAATTTTAGTTAGTTGTTTTTAGTTGTGCTAAAATCGGGGATGTGACCATAAACTACCTTAGGCATTACTATGCTATATTTATTTCACGAATGTCGAGCAAAGCACACAATATACTTTCTAACACCTATCCTCGGTTATTACAGGCAGTACTTGGCAGTAGTGTTTAAAGACAAACCCTTGGAACTATGGGATATTCGTACCTGTACCCTTCTCCGGGAGATGTCTAAAAGCTTCCCATCTATTACAGCTCTGGTAAGACAGGAAAACCAATCTCTGTCAATCTCACACAAGATCCCTTAATTCTGCCAGAGAGAAGGGCACTCTATAAAAGAATTATGCTTTGCTTTTCCTCCGAGAGGGGCAGGTTTAGATTAACTTCGTAATGGTTTTATTTCTGTAAATCAGACATGTAGCTCTTCAGTTGTCATTTAGTTATGACTACTTGTGTGATGAACAGCCAGCCACAGACCTGACTCCTTTCCTTCTGATTGCTGAGTATCCTGCAACTCTCCACTGGAGAACTTAGCTACTGATTATACCAGACCTATGGGCTAATCAGTTCATCCATATTGCATACCAGCCTTTGATTCACACAGGGTTTCCTTCCTTGCTCCTTTGTACTTTCTTTAAGTCTCTTTAAACTTAATAAAATCAATCTGTAAGACACATGTATTCCACATTCTTATAGTTTTTACTGTAATATGTGTGTTACACATTGATTTTACTAAGTTTACAGAGAGACTCTGTGAAGAGGTAGTTTTATTCGCATTTATGTAGATGTTTTAACAGCAATTTGTATAAATACTTGCAAAAACATGATATACACTTTAATTCTGTAGGGTAAGCGTTTCTTGATATCTGACTGCCATTCTGGGGTCAAGAATGATTTTTTTCTCCCCCTAGTTTGTGGCACAATTGGAAACGTTTGAGATGTGATTTTGTTTTTTGTTTTTTGTCTGCTTTTGGATCAATAGAAAAAATCAAATGTGTGAAAGGCTGAATTTGATGGGCGCATGTCTCTCTTTTCAGCTGTGTAAATATGTAACAATGGTTTCAAAGGTATTGTCTGGAAATCAAGGTGAATTCAAAAAGATTTTTAGGTCACAATAGATATATTGGAACATTTCAGTTATCTCTGTTTTCAGCTCACCTTCTTTGGCCTGAAAGTTTAAATTCACTTTGAATTCCTAACGGTTCACACAAAAAATTGTGTTCTATATGCATACATTTTTACATCAGGGGTGTGGGTTGTGAAGCTTATTGTCTCTGTCACCCCATTACTCTTCACCCTTAATATATTTGGGATTTGTTCCTCAAAGGGCAATTGCTTATGTGCTGCGATACATAACAGACCTTTAAGGGAGCATGGCAAGTATTCCATTTGTTGAATTAGTGGATCTTGCATTGACATTTTAAGGGTTTTTGGCATCTGTGTACCCTGCAGAAATTCATTTGAATGGGACGGATGGAAAAAACAGGGATTAACCAGGGTGATGGTTAAGTTTTCAAACTGTGATTTACACATTTATTTGACAGTGCTGCCATGTCAATGATACTGTAAGGGTTTAAGATAAGACTTGGGTTTTTATGTATTTTCTTCTCAAGCTTACATTTATTTGTGTTAATCCTAGATACAGATAGATATGTAAAATATTTAAGAACACATATTTAATTTTACTAAAGTTGACAACAGAAAGCTTTTTTTTTTTTACTTTTTCTTACATACTTTCTTTCACTTTTCCATTGAACTAGTGGTGATCTCTTTATTGTGAAAAGCTTTTGGCACAGAAAGGGTTAAAAAGTGACTGACAGGTGCAGGGGGTCAGTCCCATCAAGATATTATGTCACCCTATAGTTTGCTGGCTGTAGGCAGTGTACCTAGTTCCGCACCTGTTTGGCAATGGGCTAGCACAGCGGCTTTGTCTTGTCTCTTAGGAATGGTCCCCATCTCATAACCTGAAGAGTCTGCGAAAGAAACAGATGGCAGCCCGTGAGGCGATGGCACGTCAGACTGTCTCCTCAGACACCGAGCTGAATAACCTGGAGTCTTCGGTTATCAGGTAACATCTGCTAGCTTTATAATAGCATACTGATGATTCAAGGCTCGTTGATTTAGCTTTTTGAATTTTGATCATAATTGAGAACACTCAGATGTCTCTTAATTTCACAGAAAAAAAACGTTTCCCTTTCTTTATAGTGATTCCCCTATCATTGATTTGGTGGAGGGGTAGGTCATCATACTGCTTTAGAGCATAAGCATCAAGTATTTACATTTTCTGATTTGAAATTTTGCTGCTTGTCTCTTATGTCTGAATATTAACCCTCTAAATGCAATAAATATGGAAATGTATATTCATTAAACCCTGAACTGTAGCAAATTGAATATCACAATGTAAACAAAACTAGCCAAGCTGTGATGGGGAATTTGTCCAAACCAGCTATTTTGAGCTGAACTTGGCATTTCTGTTTTCAGTTTACTATAATTCAGAGTTTAGTGGTTACACACATTAGCATGAGCAACCTGTGCGGTTGTTTTGCCATCAATTTATATGGGAAGACTGCATGCATATCCTTCTTCAAAAAAACCTAACCTATTGAATTGCATCCCTAACCATAAACAAACATTATATATTTAACACACATTCCTATATTTAAGGTGTGTGTACCAATTGCAGTTTTTGCACAGCATGCCCTTTTATCTAGGATGTTAGTAGGCAACATGTAGCTTTCTATGTATTTGTGATCTTCAGCTACCATGGTCCTCAGGCGTATTAGTCAAAATAATCATTAGGTGGATAACCGTGGGCATTGAAATTCTGTTGCAGCAGACAAACTAACCATTGGCCTCTCCTTGGCTTTGGCTTAATCACAATGATGGATAAAGTGAGCTGCATTTCCCATGATGCTTTGCCAGCTGGACATGATGGGACTGTCCATGTCATTAAATATGATGGAACGCCACCCATCTAGTCAGCTAACTAAGCATCATGGGAAAGTTACTCCTCAACTATAGGGGTTATCAATGCTAATCATCATTAATGGCATGCAGATATGTAATCCTTTATTGATGTCTGTGAAATGTGCTGTTAACCTTTCTAGCATTTCGAATTGTGAAATTATAAACTGACTCTTCTGGCATGAAAACTGCATTAATGCTGACAAATTGGGAAAAAGGTGAAATTAACAGCCACTCAGTGGTGCGGACAGAGTGACTATCTACCTGGTCTGTTAGTCTGTTACAGGAAGCAGAAAGCAAGTCTGAAATGAGCCAGAATATCTCTGCACGAGAGCACTTTGTATTCACGGACACAGACGGACAGGTTTACCACCTCACTGTGGAAGGGAACTCTGTGAAAGACAGCGCCAGGATCCCGCCAGATGTAAGTTAATCTGTTTACTATTTTGTCTGATTGGCAGGCTTGACGTTGCATGCATGCAGCAGAATTAGATATGACTGCCACTGACTAGAGACTGTTTCAGCTAGTTTCTTCATTAACTTTTAAAGGAAAGTGTATTTAGCTGGGTGGGATGCAATACTGAAAGTGTTCCTGGAAAATATTGTACTGTTGACTACAAATGTGGCTTAGCCAACGGACAACCTCCCTGGGTATAATATTAACTTGTCTGTGACCGACTTCTGCTTGCACTCTTAATCACGGCTGGAACTCTGTGTAGCAACGGAAAGCTCTCCCAAAGAATCAGCCACTTCTGAAAAATTGATAGGATTACAGAGTAGATAATTAAATGGATACACCTGGGTTATTGTGTTTATTTACTAACCAGTGTGGACCCGTCATTTCCAGTGAGTTAAAACGCATCCTGGAAATTTTCTAAATGTAGTCTTGTTTATCTTATACTAAACATATTAAGTCAGGTTCTCTTTAACTGTCAATAGCTCTTTAACTGTCAATAGCTCTTTAACTGTCAATAGCTCTTTAACTGTCAATAGCTCTTTAACTGTCAATAGCTCTTTAAGCAAAGAAGTGGAGTTTTTTTTAGCATAAAGATAAATTTGTTGCGTTGCTTTAGGAACTAATAAGTTGATCCATACCTGCTCTACAATGCCCTCACTTATCATAATTTGCATGAAAGAAGAAGATCCTGTGAATAATAATCCTTAAATCACCAGTTATTACATTCCATGTCGGTAAATATTACAGCACACTTAAAAAGTCATTCATAAAAGGGTATGAATTTAGCTCAACTTATTATCCGTATCATCTAGATTGGTGTGCATGTGGAATGCTCAGATTGCTGCCTACTCCTGTATCCTCATATAAACAAAAATGTTCCAGCAAGTCCTTTTGTTAAAGATTCTTCAATGTAAAGAGCAGCAAAGTTTTGGTCAAAACATGGTTGCATTTTATTCTGAAAACACTCACATAAACGGACACTTTGTTGCAATGGATGTGCTGGAACATTTCTTTAGTTTAGACGAGGATTGGTTAACGGTGCACCCTGTCGGTAGATTCTGTTCCCCCTTGTAGTGTACTGTGATACTACTGTATCACGTCCTGTCCTACAATGAGGAATACTTTGAGTCCATGTGGTTCTACAAAACACTGGAGCTCAAACCCAGGAGTACTGTTAATGAAGTTGGTGAATCACACTGACAATCCAGAAACCAGTTCCCCATGTCTCTGCACTGGGTCAGTACCATTGATGAAAGCACAGCATTTTATTCTGTAGCTAGAACCGAGCTGCTAAAAAGCGTTCCGATTCTGCCAGCTTGGTGTAACGCAGTGGAAATCCACTATATAGATGTCAGACCTTTTACTGCAATAATTTAAGAACAGGTGTTCAGCGAGGCATTCATCTAATGATTTTATCATAGGCCATGATTTGGGAATTGCTGTGATTCATGGTTTTATGCCTCAGTGAGTAGCAAGGTTGTAAGATTCATTGTTCTGCATGGTCAAGGTTAGTGCGACATGCACCCAAACAGTTAGGGGAATTGGTGTAGGAATCGGCCAGACTGTCGGGGTTTGACTTTCTGGTTGCATCTTACAAGCAGGTGCTGCCAGTGATGAAGGTCCAGCCTGCTTCATGTTGTGGAGTCTGAAGATTGCTGTGATTTATGTTCCCAGGCCATATAGAGGTTGTTACTGATTTCTGCTCTACATTCCTATCATTATCTACTAAACTTGGAATAGGGGGATGAATTGAAGTTACAAAATTTACCAAACCTATCTGATTTAGGAAAAAATTCCAACTCTTATATAGCCTCACATGGCTATTTCAGCCTAGTTTTTGCCATTCAGATTTTTACTTCATCATAATTCACAGGTTAGCGAATACACCTCAGTGTATCAGAGTAGTTTGCGGTCTTCGAAGCCCACCTTCAAAATGGACACGCATGGCGGCTATCTATCTTTATTTTTGTAGTGCAATGATAATACAGGATGGTTGAGACACATTAGCTTGAACATGTTTAACAATAAAAACTGGTAACATATGTCATAGATGTTGCACTATTTTTTTTTCTCCAGGTAAATAAATCCTATGTGAGCAAATCAGACAATATGGCATTAGCATTATAATAAGCTGATATTAGATTAATTATGCCATATCTGATCAAGACCCCTGAGCCCTCAGAAACATTTAGCTAGTTAGACCAGCATTAGTAACGACTGGATAGGCTGCATAGAGAGTCACCCGAGCCCTAAGGTAAAGATCCTATAGCCGCCACCGCCAGTTGGGTAGAGTCCCTATTTTCAGACGTGGGTCTGTTGGTAGACAGCCACCAAGGCCTTGCCAGTCCATCACTCCTCAGGACCAGGAGCAGTGTGTCGCTTGAAGTTGTGGAGTGACTTGTGATTCTGCCACGTTGTGGGAGCTGATGCTGCAAAGCCAGGAGGTGGTGTGTAGAGAGTGAGAAGTCGGTACTTCAGGCAGTCTGCCTCAGTGTCGATTGTTAGCATCCCGTGAGCCATGTGTGACACAGACAGTGTTGCCCAGCCTTACTCGCATGGGGCGCCGAGAGACGACCTCCGTGGAGGGAGGAATAGACTCCTCCACCATCTTGTAGGATAAGCGAGTCCTCCAGTGCAGGTAGCCAACAATGCTTGTGAGCTGGTAGTAGGGCTTCAGGATGGACAGGAATGACACCACCGATCCAAAGGGGGGGAAGCAAGGCTAGCGCGTAGCAGAGTCAAGGTTCTGGTTTTCAGGTATCCACCCCACTCACTGGTGGAATAGGCCTTAGGTACCAAGATCAGATGTCTTGCCTCAGAGGGCCAAGACTATAGTTTTGAGTCGATCTTCAGGACCAGTACTCTTTTTAGTGCATGTGGTTGTCGCTTCTTGGTGCCAGATAAGGATCAGACCACTTTTGTGGGCCACAAGGTTAGCTAATTCTGGGAGCTGTTCTTCCATGCAACTTGTGAGCATGGTGGTCAGGCCCCACCCCCTACCCATGCATGTTTTTAAGGGTCACTGAGCATCATGGTAAATGTAGTTGTGAAATCTTTGAGGTTTAGGTTAGGTGTCAGTGCTATTGTGATTTCATTGCTTCTTTCACACAGCTGCCCAGCGTTTACCCATCAAAATGACAAGTAGACAAGAAACAAATCATCCTGTATGTGTCTACATGCCACCTGTCGGCAGATGGTTTATAATCATCACCTATTTTTGATGCATGCAGATAACTCAGGGAAATGTAGTCCAACACCTCCTGGTTCTTACCATCTTTGTATATAATATATCACAGTTTTATATTTATAGCTGTTGCCAAATATGATATTTTTTTCCTATTTATATGCTTTTGGCCAGCCACTCTGAATAAAAATGAGGCTGGCCAAAAGCTTGTTAGCTGAAACAAGGCCCATGTTCGGTTGTTCGGGGTTAAGTATAAGGACCATAGCTTATAGCAGGGATGCAAAAAAGGTAGATCCCCAGATGTTGTAGAACTACAGCTTCCATAATGCCTTTTCACTCTAAAGCATTGTAAAGGCATGCACAGCACCATGGGAGTTGTAGTTCTACAACATCTGGGGATCTATCTTTTGGGCACGCCTGGTTTATAGTTAGTGGCAAGATCTAAGACCAGATAGCGTAGACCCAGAATAGTTAGCTGGGGGCAGAACTAGTTTTAGTGTATTTTACCACAATAGAAAATGCATTTCCACTTAGGGAATGAAATACTATAAAATATGCTGTTACCATTCATATGTCAATGCTCTAATTATATATCTTTCTGGTTTGAATGCATTGTTTCCAACAAGTGAGGCAGTCATGTCATTTTATTTACACCAAAGTTGTTTTGCCTTCACATCTACTTCTTGCAGTTATCTGCACGATCGCTCATCTTGGCAATTTCTTTTTAAGAGCCTTCTAAATCACATATTGCACAGTGATTATTGTCATTTTTATGACAGTGTTCTACTATAACCACCGCAGTACACCATATTAATGATTTATGTTTCTGCTGGGTCAGCCACGCATTATCTAGATATGATGGCTGTGTCTTCTTCAAATTGAGTTGAGAAATACATTACCGGTCTCATCAAGCTTTCTAGCTTGGGGCTGGAAGCAGTCTAAGTGCTTTTACATGGGAATTTTCAATAAAAACTATGTATTACACTTTCTATGTGCTTCCATGGGAAAATGTATATTGCTTATATTATTTAAAATAAGTTGAAGAATTGAAATCCTCTCCCTCTTGTTTTTCTAGCGATACCCTCTAAATGAGGACTGATATTATACAATCTGATCTTACCTCTGGCTAAATATGTTGAGACTAGCTATTTTCTCATTAAAGTTTTTGAGTTTCAGAACAGCGTGTATGTCTGTAAATAGCTTTAAAAGCTGAAACTAATATTTTATGTCATCCATTTCAACAAAATGAACTTGGAAAATTTATATTTTTTTTTATGAAGCATGCTACTTAAGCATATTGGTCTCATTTTATGTTGGGTGTATTACCCTGTAAGATGTTATCATCTAAAAACTAGAGCGGCTCATCTAGCCCTTTTAGTAAATAGCGTGTGCTCGCAGGCAGTTTTGGTGTAATTTGTTTAAGAGCATGATCACTAAACCTAGACTGTGTCTGTCCCTCGAATTTAGAAAAGGCCATTAGCCGGTATGAATGCCTTTTTTTGTGGGCAAGATTTGCATACTAACATAGAATAGTTATCCTGGGCTTATCTTTTTCCCTATAGAGATTTTGATTAAATATATATTTTGTCTTTATTTAAATAAGTCCGTTAACCTGAATAGGCGTTCATTACAAAGGCCAAATATACTTTACATTTTTATAGGCAAACAAATATTGTGTACTCCTGCTCAATAACTGTTAAAATAGAAAGCTAAAAATAAAATATAATTTGCTTGCACTTCAATCTAGATTGATACAGTGTGTTAACCAGATTCTGAGCAAGTGTATCGATCACCATAGAGATCGCGTGCAGTTTGTCGGAATGCTGCTGGAATACAGATATTAGTCACTAAACATTGTATCACTTGATGTATTGGTGGGATTTAGCCAGCTGAGAGCAATGTCACATTCTAAATGTTCGCTAAGAGATTATGATAAATTGTATCAGTGCCACAATGAGCTTGTCTCCAATTTTATAAATGAAGACATTAAGGCATTTTGTGATGGAAGGTTTAATTTAAATATATAATGCTCTTGTTGTGTAATGCACCTTTTATATATAACTTTATATTGCTTGATGGTCTGCACCCCTAACACAATCTATTTAATTTTGCAGGGAAGCATGGGAAGCATTTCCTGCATTGCTTGGAAGGGAGACCACCTGGTCCTCGGAGATGTGGATGGCAATCTAAACTTCTGGGATTTAAAAGGACGGGTCTCCAGGTAACTGATGGCAGATCGTTCTTACTAATCTTTAGATTAAAAAAATAATTGATGTTTTGGAAAAGGATATGGACATAGACAAAGTTGCCACTTGCTGTTGTGCAGTGAATACATGTCAATTTTTTTTGTGAGCTACAATAAAACGCCTTGAACTACGCAGGATAATTTTTGGTGTGTCAGAAATGCCGAACTCCTTATTGTGCTAAATAAATAACTTAAATGTTATAATTGTAGGCAGCATGCTGCAGGTTGGTTGATTTTATTTTAGAGCTCACTGCCAGCACTTACATTTTGATCTCCCTTGGACTTCACCATAAATGCAAGAGGTGATATCAACCAAAAACCCAAAGTACTACCTAAAGAAACCCAAGTTCTGAATCTCTGTATCAGTCATTGAAGACACTGGGATATGATATCCCAGTGCCCTGATGACAGCTACCTGGGAAAGGATAGTGGAAACGTAGTCATTTTCAAATGGGGACTCCAGATAACCTGTTCCATTATATGCCCATATCCAGCGGCAACCCTTTAAAAGCCATGTAGGCACAGCCTTGGTGAGGACAGTGTAAGTCAGTCGGACATCACTGAAACAGTTTCATTGTACGTATATTTTTGTTTATTTTTGAGTTTTAGTATGCACCTGCTGAAAAATACTCACTTTTTTTATTTCACAAAGGAATTTGAGATGAGCTGTTCTGGGAGAGAAGGCAATTAACGCAATGTGTATATATAAAAAGAAATCTCCCCAAACATATTTTATCCTTGACACTTAAGGGACTAGGCGGAATTTACTATTAACAAATCTAGAAGGACTAATTTACATAGAAATTACTTTGGTGATAACCATTCTTTGAGAAATATTTAACTCAATATTATGCCATGCATGTTATGATCCTAGTAATTTTTTAAAGCTTGGCAAACCGTTCCTGAGAGGATTATCAGTGCATACCATGATTAATTACAAGCTGGTAGCAATATCATGCTTCTGCTTTATTGCAATTGGAACCCTTTGACACAGTGTATCAACATCGTGGAAAACCCACACAGTGACGTATACACACACTGGCACATACTCAGATACACACCAATACACACATACTGACATACACACAGTGACACATACACAAACCTTGACACACAGATACACACACTCACACACATAATCTTTGACACACACATACACTCTCACTGACAAACACACACACAATTTATTTTTTTAAGTTTCACTCCACCCAGCCCCCCTACCTTTGGGAGTGCTGGCATGTAGTCTCTATTTCCATGGGGTCCAGTGGGGCTGCTGGGCTGGCATGCAGTGCCTGGGGTCCGGTGGGGCTGCTGGGCTTAGTGGCTGGCATGCGGATGGCAAGAGAGCAGTGATCTTTCTGCTCAGCTCCCTCGCGTGTCTCTTAGTGATGCCGGAGTGACGTCATATTCCATCTCCGGCATCGCTGCTGTGTGCACAGCGATAATCGCCGCTGCGATAATCGAGGCGGGTGGTGAGGAAGCACTCTCCCCTGCTCAGCTTCCTCGCTGCCTACCTGAGTTATCGCGGGGGCCATTTTGTTTCCCGAAATTCTGGCGGATCCCCAACGCTGGTCTATTGTAACTGGGTACTTCGGTCTGTTTTATAGGGGGATTCCCACACACAGAAATTGGGTAAAGAAGATACGTTTTGCCCCAGGTAAAGGCAACCAGAAACTAACAGTTCTGTACAATGACGGTGCCGAGGTGTGGGACACTAAAGAGGTAAGTGAAAAGGAGTATCATTTTGATCTACACTTAAAATGTGCTGCTGTATATGGACAGACCCCTGCAGTGATCTGAGTGACCAGACCTACTTAGGAAGTGAGCAGGAATTAGATTTACTTATTGCTATGTCTCTCTACCTGAGCTGTAGACCATTGGAAAATAATATGGGAACAATGCTTAGGTAATGTTCTCAATCTGAGCATATGTGGTTGGGAAGAACAGACAGATGAAATCAAGGCACTCATTGCTCACTTTGATCCATTTCAACCTGCTTAATGACATAACAGCTTTCGGGAATTGACTGATTGTAGTTTCAAAAGTGGACACTGTACCTGACATGACCAGGAAAATATTGTACTTCACCCGTGGTCAGATTACGGTCTAATGTGGTTGTTAAGCTTTCTTGACAGGATGTCTTTTTGAGTGTCTGAAATATTGTTTAGAGCCTATCGTTAAAGAGACACTTTAAAGAAACACTATGGGGTCAGGAACCGTGTATCCTGACCCTATAGTGTTATAAAACCCCGGCCTCCCTTGTCCCCTTAAAAAGGTAGAAAACTCGCCTTTTTTTCAGATCCGCGCAGGTCTGCCGTAAACGTCCTTGCTAAGCACCTCTAGTGGCTGTCTCAGTGACTGCCACTGGATGTGTCCGTAGCGAGTAATTTTTTCCCCCTTTTCTCTGAAAATGCCTGCAGGAACTGACTATATTCACCATAACAACTACATTAAGCTTGAGTTGTTCTGGTGACTATAGTGTCCCTTTAACTACTGTTTAGGTTGGACGAATTGGCGTGGACATTGGAAGTGTTGATTATGCATTGTCCATACGCCTGAGAAAGGGGTTTCCTTATACTGTATAGAGAATTGATCGTTTTAATGATGTACATGTATTAGATTTTTCAGGTACTAATCAGCATCTCTTATCTACTAGATTCAGATGGTGAGCAGCCTGCGCACTGGGAGAAATGTAAACTACCGTGTCCTAGATGTTGATTGGTGCTCATCCGACAAAGTAATCTTAGCTTGCGATGACGGTTGTATCAGAGTGTTGGAGATGTCTTTGAAATCTGCTTCCTTCCGGATGGATGAACAGGAACTCATTGGTAACACTTGAGGGAGGAACAGGAACTCATTGGTAACACTTGAGGGAGGAACAGGAACTCATTGGTAACACTTGAGGGAGAGACAGGACAATCGATAAGACAGATTGTAAAAAGCAAGAACACTATATGCAGTCATCATTTCACATTAAAGCAATGTTTGTAGCTTGTGATTCTCCAGTATTCAACTGGCGTTCTCCCCGGCACCCAGAGACAGGTCTGCTTCATCAACATTAATTTCACTTTACATTCAGCTGCCGTGGTTATACTGCATTAATTGCTCCCTTTAAAGGGATACTCCAGAAACCATGATCATGTCAGTATTTTGAAGTGATCATGGTGCAAGGACCCTGTATGTGCAGTGTTTCAGTAAGAAAAGCTGCAAATACAGAGATATTTAATATTGCTGACGGAGGTATAACTCCACCTCTGGCAGCTTTCACTAGCCTACCTGGAATGAGTTCTTGGCCGGCTAACATTAATCATGTGCAAGTTCTGTGCACAGAGTTCAATTCATTGGATCTGACCATTTTCACCCAATGAATGAATGGCAGAATTGGCTATGGCAGCTCTGTGAGGCTTGATGACTGGCAGGACCCAGGTAAGGGGACAATCTGTTTTTAAAACAGGTGTCCTTTACTGAGCAACACATGATCCAGGAGATGCTTGAAGTAACCCTTTAAACCTTTAAACACAATTACATTTATCTGGTTTTGGGTAGAAACACATGTTGTTTGATCAGGTGTATTCTGTGCTTGTCTGCTTTGGAATGGCTCGCACGGAATGCAAAAGGCAGCACAGACATGAAATAGTAAATAAGGCATGTGACTAGTAATATTGTTCATTGATATAAATATTCCATATGTCTGAAGGTTTTTTTTTTTTTTTGGGAACCATTATAAAATATTGAACCTATTTTTTCTGCTGTTACTAAATGTAAAATTGGAGACTGTTTCCTAAACATGTATTAAATAATATTTTGCTTGTTGTCCATTGTAATTTACAATGTCATTTATTCTTGTTGTCAGATCCTGTCTGGTGTCCATACTTGCTGCTCCCGAAGGCATCTTTAATTCTTAAAGCCTTCCTGCTTCATCAACCCTGGGGAGACAAATGTTCCTTAAATATCACAGATGTGTGAGTTGATTTACATCCGGCTCCTATCAAGCAGCCGGTTAACATGTTTTTATATGTATGCAGTATGCTTGATTATGCAGGTTCCAATGTGTTGCCTTCATCAAAACTGTTCACAAGTCTTGTTCTAGTCCCATAACCGCTAATGCCCCATTCAAAAGCATTTTGTATTTTTTTTTTTTTCCCTTCTAGTGACTACCCAGAGCATGAGGACATGAAGGCTTTAATCCAAGAACAAATCAACTCTTTATCCAAGTGAGTCCTAGTCACTTCTACTACTGTTGGCCCAAAACTAGAAATCTGGTACAGTCTGGGGAGTTTGCAGAATTTGCAAAGACTCCCGAGATTGACATCACCACTGGGGATCTGGGGTAGGAAAAGGTGAGTTATACTTACCTGAACTAGTCCCACACAGGAACCGCCATCTTTTTCCACTGGGTCCCTTCGGCTCCTTTTCTTCAAGAGTGAATGTCACTGCTGTACTCTTGCCCATGCTTGAGACTACAGCATTAAGGTCTGTGGAGGACCCAGTTAGACCATGGGATCTTACATAGACAGAGCCAATTCCCTGAAGCCATCACTGGTGACAGCTGGGGGGTTAAAACAAAGTAATCTCTTCCCTTTCAAAGGTAATTTTAGTTTTAGGAAAAGCCAGAAGTTACAGGGTGCCAAATCTTTAAACAGATTCCTGACCATCTTTGATGCTTTTTTACCACACTTTTATTTGTGCTACGATTATTGCATCGTTCCCGAAATCCTTCTGAATCATCCAAATAGTTTCCGAGGAGGAATGTTCAAGCTTAACGCAAATTCGTTGCTCTACACGCTCAGTCATTTTGAATGCAACGATCACACAGTACACATGCTCACTCAAGTCGTCATTGTTCATGCATGCGTATTCCAGTTCCCTCTCCTTGGCTGCTAGGTTACATCGATGTTGCCTCGTAATGATTGAAAACAAGTTGGTATTTACAAAAGTGTGGGACAGCTTATAGACTCAAAACTTTGGTTTGTTATTAGTTGCGTTATCTTTTGTTAAAATCTTCTCTTTTCAGCGACGTGAAGGATTTGCTTTTGGACCCAGAGTTTACACTCTTGCAAAGGTGCCTGCTTGTTGCAAGGTTAGTTTGTATTTAATGATCATTAGTATATTTCACTTTTTCCAAACTAAAGCTATTAAAGGAACATTCCAGGAATCTGTTAGTTTATTAGTGAGAAAAACCATACATTTTAAAATGTAACAAGATTTCTATGATGATTTTACTTTGATTACACAGATCTGCAAGGGCCAGATCATTGTTTGTTTGTTTTTTTGTTTTTTTTTGTAGTCAATTCTGGTTTTATTGTTTTCAATATGACAGGGATTGGAGAAATGTACTTCAGCCGTGTCAAGCACTTTCATTCATGAAAAGACATGAATGATCGTGCTTGGCAAGATAATTAAAGCAGAGCGTTTCATGCATGCACGTTGAAAGTTGATATGGCTTAGCTCATGATGTAAGAACACTGTCTAGTTCCTCTCTTGTCAGGGGTAAGGTATGTAACATAGTGGGGAGTTAGGAAAATATTTCTCACTCGTCTTTATGTTGCCCTAATTGATTTATACATCTGAATGGTACAAAGGTTTTCAAGTAGCTGTAATAAAATGGATACTCTCTTTTTAATTCATTTTTTTTCAGACTATATGGGGATGAGTCCGAGCTGCATTTCTGGACTATAGCTGCACACTACTTGCAAGTGTTTCAACGTACGAGGCTTAGCAGCAGCACCACTCCAGCAAGCCCACTGGACATTTGTTATGACCTTTTGTGTGAGAATGCATATTTTCAGGTAACACTGTGTGCGAATGCAGGCATTCCTTCCTAAATCATTCTCCTGCATGCAGATATAGGAAACCTACAACGAAATTAGCCAAAAACAATCCTAAAAGCCATCTATAATAAAATACTTGGCTGTATGGTTGTATAGCAGTGACAGCTACCCCTTTAAGGATCCTCCTGATTAGCCTCTTTTACCTGTAATATACCAAACAACATATAAATGGGGTTTCAGCTTATCCTATCTACCATCTCTGGTGGGCTAGTAGAATACCTTAGTGCTATACTTATGAGCCTTTACTGGTTTTATTGTTGGCAATCCCTGAGGAAGTCCAGGATTGTTGGATGAAACACGTAGTCCCTAGCACAGCCTTTTTATATAGTGTTTGGAATAAAAGTGTTGCTTTTTTCACTATCTTCACCCTGGTGTACCTGAGGGTTCCTGCAGCAAATTGTGGCATAAGGAGGTATTCTCCTAGCCCACCGGGATATACCCGAGATGCTTTAAAGCATTATTCACTTTAAATATTTTGTGAGTGCAACCAATAAGCATGCAATATTTTTGGTGTTGCAATACTTCACTATTATTTGCTTTTTTTAAAAAAAAATTTTTTTATCTAGGATAAACCAGAATCCCATTTATATGTTGCTTGGTAAAATGCAGATATAGGAATCTGGATATTTTAAAGTGTACTTATCATGGTACACAACACATCTGTACATTATTCCAGCTAAATTGCTAGGTATCTAAATAAGATATGGTCCCTCACTTGTCAGTGCAAATACAGTGCATGCACTCTAGCAAGATTCATCTATAAAGGTTCCAATTTCTATCAAAATCTGCACTTTTTGTAAGAGCTAGCTAGACTGCTTTAGGGGTCTGTAGTGTCCATATAAGAGCTTATATTTTCAAAGGTCTTCATAGTTGACATCATTCACACATCACACAGACACCAAACACTGCAAAAAAAGTTACACATTTTTATTGTTCGAGTGCTCCTATAGCACCTATACTATTATTAATGCTGGAAGTGTGCATGCACAAAACATTTATTCACTCCCATGATAACCTTTAGATTATTTAGCAGTTATAGGACTTAGCCATCATTATTTTAAAATGCACTTTTTTTTGTTGGCAACGAGGGGAAATTCATGATTTATAATATTGAGCAAGCTGTCTCTAACTAAATTGGAAACTTTTTTCTAGATCAGCAATTTTTTCTGGAATTGCTTTGCCTAAATTAGGATTCTAAAGGGACACAATAGTCACCAGAACAACTACAGCTTATTGACTTTGTTCTGGTGAGTAGAATCATTACCTTCAGGCTTTCTGCTGTAAGCACTGTCTTTTCAGAGAAAATGCAGTGTTTACATTACAGCCTAGTGATAACTTCACTGGCCACTCCTTAGATGGCTGTTAGAGATCCTTCCTGGGTCATGGCTGCCTAAAATGCATGCAGACACTGAACTTTCCTCATAGAGATTCATTGATTCAATTCATCTCTAGGAGGAAATACTGATTGGCCAGGGCTGTGTTTGAATCATGCTGGCTCTGCCCCTGGTCTGCCTCTTTGGCAATTTCAGCCAATCCTATGGGGAAGCATTGTGATTGGATCAGGCTACCACTTCTGATGATGTCAGCAGACTGCTTGTTTTTCTGAGTCTAACAGCATGCAGAGTTACAGCTTCAGGCTTGAATACAGTAAGATCTTTACTATATTTATGGAGGCATGAGGGGCCCAGGGGGGCTGGATGGTGGTTTTAACACTATAGGGTCAGGAATACATGTTTGTGTTCCTGACCCTATAGTGATCCTTTAATAATCTAGTTTTCAGTGTTTAATAGTGGTGATCAGTGCCTTTAAGATACTGTTTGTTAGCTGTTAATTATTCCTTTACAGGCACCAAAACAATTTTAGCTTAATGAAGCGGTTTTGGTGTATAGATCATACCCTTGCAGTTTCTTTGATGCCTGCAGTATCCCTTTAAGTGAATATCTTGTTATTATCACATATGCACTAAAAGCTGACCCAGAACCTTTAAAGCAAGCATGTCAAACTCAAAGGCTAGCAAGGGCCAAATAAACAAGGTTTAAGTTTGTCCCACAAAAAAACAAACGTAAATTTTCACCCCCTCTACTAAACTCCAGCCCCCCCCAATCTACTAAATCCTTGCCCCCCGCTCGTCTACTATATCCCAGTCCCCCCGTCTACTAAACCCCTGCCCCTGTTAAAAAAATAATTTTAAAAAACAGCCAACAAGCAGTGCCTGGAGTCCGGCCTCTGGCATACTCCCCAATGGCCCCATCCGCACCTTTAAAAAAAAAAAAAAAAGCAGATTCCTCCCGTAACTCCTTGAAACCCTCACACACACTCACTGACAAACACACAGACTTACTGATAGCCAGGCACCTATACACACACAGACTGTCATCCACTTAGACATACACACAGACTGGGTTGGTTTCTTACCTGGGGTCTAGTGGGGCTGCTGGGCAGACAGGCAGTGAGAGAGCGCGGAGTGTAAGCGCTCCCTCGTGCGCTGCAGTGATGCCGGGAGCCGGAGTGATGTTATATTCCGGCTCCTGGCATCACTGCGGGGAGCTGAGCAGGGAGAGCTTACACTCGGATATCCCTTGCAGCGGCTCATGGGCCGCATAAATAATAGTTTGACATGGCTGCATTAAAGGGAAACTATAGTGCCAGGAAAACAAAGTTGTTTTCCTGGAACTTGAGCTTAGCTCCCTATAGTGCCCTCCTCCCTCATCTGGTAGATAACCACTAGAGGTGGAGTTAACCCTCAAAGGTAATTATTGCCGTTTATTAAAAGCTACAATAATGAAGTGTTCTTGCATGGCAAGACCACTTACTATTATCTCACATATATATTATTCTTATTATTATAACCAAATTTGCCACCCTAACTCCTCCCACAGTTTTTATACTACATAGACAGTAATATACCGAAACGTGCGGATTGTTCCCGATCGGTGTGCTATTACTTTGTGGAACGTTTCGCCTAATGGTTCACAAAATATCGTCGTTTTTGTGGCAAAATTGGTCCCATAGGAATGAATAGCAGAATGTTCAAAACTAGAGTGGGAGCTGACAAAAGCTAGAGTGTGAGCTGAAAAATCAGGACATGGTTTCTAAACTGCCACCACTCCCTCATTTTCAAGCCCACCTACACAAATCTTATATCAGAACGTTCAGCTATCCCTGCTGCCATAGTCCTGATAGTTTTCACAATATGACCATTTGTTTGCAACTCACGCCGTCCATTGACATTCATTAAAACTCCACTCTAGCCACCTCAAATTTGAAGGGCAATTTCTAAACTGCGACTGTGCCTTCATTTTTATTACTATGCATCAAAAATGTAGGTCTGGGTCTTGTGATTCCCACAATATAAAGCTCTTCACTGTAGGCTTTATAGTTTTTAAAATACGACCATTTGAAGATGGCAACCGCCAGTGAAGTGAGCAATTTGGAGCAGTTTGTTTTTAACCGCTCTTCTCTGCCCTATTTGAAATCTATTGGTTCCTGCTGGCAGTGGGTGGAATGTTCGAGGGATTTGAAAGATTTGAAAGCTCTTCTCTGCCCTTGCTGTAGAGTGAGTGAACCACACTCCAACCTTTCCACAGTTACTCCAGCCACTTCAACCACACAACAATTACTCAAGCCACTCCACCCAGTTACTCCGCCCACTCCAGTTGTAGACTACTGGTGGAGGCAAGAACATTTCACACAATTTCCCCAGAAATTGTAGCTTTTCTAGTTACTTTTGCAGGATTAAGGGTTCTGGGCCTATGCACCCAGACCACTTCAATGAGCAACAAATCTATGGATTATATGTTATACTGACTAAACTCGTATATGTATAAGACTATAGTAAAGTAAATGAATCATCGTAGCCCCTGCAGTAATATGTAACTTATGATGAAAAATGATCTGTGATCCATTTTTTATTTATTAAAGGACAACGGTCATATCTTTTCGTGTGTTTTTTTTTTTTTTAAGTTTATTACATTTATTAAAATTTGATTTAAAAAAAAAAAAAAGTTTCTTTATTTTTGTTGTGCAGTGAAAAACAATACATAGTTAAACATTGCATCCCTTAATGACAGGAGGATTGACAAATACAGCAGTATTATCGTGCAAAATTATCTGCACATATTTAGGGAAATAGATACACGCTGAGAACATCAAGTTTTATGTCATTGTAGCTGAGGGTCCACGTGGTGTCCACCATGACTGGTGAGTCGCTGTGTTGTCTGAATGCTTTGGTGGCATCTCCCTGTGTTCTTGTTAGTTCAGGAGGGGACCGGGATCACCCCCACCGGTCCAAGGGCAAGGGTATTACGGGGC